GTTGGTCAAGGGGGTTCCGTGTGTCAAGTTTGGCCCAATTCTATTGTTGGTGGAGTTCAGAAAACTCTTTAAAGCCAGCAGTCCCTCTGTTTTATCTAGAGCAGCGTTTTTCAACCTGGGGGTCAGGACCCCTAGGGGGGTCGCGAGGGGGCATCAGAGGGGTCACCAAAGACCATCAGAAAACGCAGTATTTTCTGTTGGTCAAGGGGGTTCCGTGTGTCAAGTTTGGCCCAATTCTATTGTTGGTGGAGTTCAGAAAACTCTTTGTACGCAAACTATAAATCCCAGTAATTACAAATCCCAAAGGTCAATGTCTATTTTCCCCAAACTCCACCAGTGTTTACATTTGGGCATATGGAGTATTCGTGCCAAATTTGGTCCAGATCCACCATTGTTTGAGTCCACAGTGCTCTCTGGATGTAGGTGAACTACAACTCCCAAACTCAAGATCAATACCCAGCAAACCCTGCCAGTATTTTCTCTTGTTCATGGGAGTTATGTTACAAATTTGGTTCAGTTCCATCACTGGTGGAGTTCAGGATGCTCTATAATTGTAGCTGAACTATAAATCCCAGAAACTACAACTCTCAAATGACAAATGACTCCCCCCGACCCCACCAGTATTCAGATTTGGGTGTATCGGGTATTTGTGCCCGGATTGATCCAGTGAGTGAAAATACACCCTGCATATCAGATATTTACATTACGATTCATAACAATAGCAATGATGAAGTAGCAACGAAAGTAAAGTAATGTGATGGTTGGGGGCCACCACCACATGAGGAACTGTATTAAGGGGTCGCGGCATTAGGAAGGCTGAGAACCACTGATCTAGACCTATCTATATTCTAATAATAATAATAAATTTTAAAACTTTATTTATATTCCGTCCTCTGTCCTCGAGGGGACTCTGCGTGGACTCCAACAAACCAAATGAGGATACTTCTCGTCGTATGGTAGGGTCGGAAGAGACCTTCAAAGGCCATTCAGTCCAACCCCATTCAGCCATGCAGGAAGATACAATCAAAACAACCACACCAGATGGCCATCTAGCCTCTGTGGAAATCTGTAGGTCCTCCAAGATAACTATACGGTATTATGGACTGAGAGTGAACTACGTAACATTGGGTCTTGACAGGGGGAGTGTGTCTCTGTTGGTTCTCCTGGATATCTCACCAGCGTTCGATACCATCAACCATGGTATCCTTCCAGAATGGGTCTGGGGGCATTGCTCTGCAGTGGCTCCGCTCCTTCCTGGAGGGTCGCTCCCAGTTGGTGAAGCTGAGGGAGACCTGCTCGGACCCGTGGCCTTTGACCTTTGGGGTCCTGCAAGGTTCCATTCTATCCCCCATGCTTTGTAACATTTACATGAAACCACTGGGTGAGGTCATACGGAGTTTTGGAGTTGGATGTCACCTGTACGCAGATGACACCCAACTCTACCACTCATTTCCACCAAACTCCAAGGAAGCCTCCCAGACCTTGAACCAGTGTCTGACGGCTGTGATGGACTGGATGAGGGCTAACAGGGTGAAGCTTAATCCAGACAAGACAGAGGTCCTCCTGGTCAGTCGCTGGATCGACCGGGGTATTGGGTGGCAACCTGTGCTCGACGGGGTTGCACTCCCCTGAATGCGCAGGTCCGTAGCTTGGGGGTCCTCCTGGACTCAACGCTGTCGCTTGAAGCTCAGGTGTAATGGTGGCCGGGAGGGCCTTTGCACAACTGCCACCATACCTCGTGAAGTCTGACTTGGCTTGGTTACATCCAAACTGGACTATTGCAATGCGCTCTACATGGGGCTGCCCTTGAAGACGGCCCGGGAGTTTGAACTGGTACAGCGGGCGGAAGCCAGACTCCTTACTCTATAAGGAGCATACAACGCCCCTATTAAAACAGCTTCATTGGCTGCCGATAAGTTGCCGAGCCAAATTCAAAGTGTAGGTCATGACCTATAAAGCCCTAAACGGTTCGAGCCCCGCCTTTCTCCGCGATTGCATCTCTTTCTATGAACCGGCACAAGCTCTAAGATCTTCCGGGGAGGCCCTCCTCTCGGTCCCACTACCATCTCAAGCACGGTTGGTGGGGACGAGAGAGAGGCCTTCTGGTGGTGGCCCCCCACCTCTGGAACGCCCCAAGGGAAATAAGACAGGCCCCATCCCTCCCCTCCTTTCGTAAGAGCTTGAAGACCTGGTGGTTTCAACAAGCCTTTGAAAATGACCAGTTCTAACTCAGCCCTACACATTGTCAATATGGCCTTATTCTTCCTACCAATTACCCAGATTACTTCCTCTAATCGGCCCCGGAATGAACAGCCACAGACCCGTAACTAATATTATTGTTGCCTACCATAGCATTGCATTTAATACCGGCTGTTAGGAATGGTGGGAGTTGAAGTCCAAAACACCTGGAGGGCCCAAGTTTGCCTAGGCCCGTGATAAAGGAAAAATAATTAAAATTGCATCACGTATAGATGTGCTTGCAATGCAATCAACATGGTGCAAAAATCATCTTTGTGAAGCCTCCCTTAATGGTGGACGGGGGTGTTGCTGTGTTTGGACAGATGTCGCTGAGCCGAAAGAGCTCTGGCCGGACTGCAAGAGGCCCCCGCCCGTCGCCCCCGCCTTCCGGCTGGACAAAGCCATGCTCCAAGGTAAGGCTCTCCTCTTCCTCCGTCTCTTTGCGCCTCCAATAGGCTCAGCCTGGAATCGTGTGAGCTTCCTTTGCCACCGCATCACATTCTTGGCTCGTGTGCGGCGTGTGGTCTACCAAGATACTCCACTTTGGCAGAAAAAATGAAATGCAAAGATACAGAATGGGGGACGCCTGACTCGAGAGCAGTACGTGTGAAAAAGATCTTGGAGTCCTCGTGGACAACAAGTTAAACATGAGCCAACAATGTGATGTGGCGGCAAAAAAAGCCAATGGGATTTTGGCCTGCATCAAGAGGAGCATAGTGTCTAGATCTAAGGAAGTCATGCTCCCCATGCTCTATTCTGCTTTGGTTAGACCACTTTACCTGGGATATTGTGTCCAATTCTGGGCACCACAATTCAAGAGAGATATTGACAAGCTGGAATGTGTCCAGAGGAGGGCGACTAAAATGATCAAGGGTCTGGAGAACAAGCCCTATGAGGAGCGGCTTAAGGAGTTGGGCATGTTTAGCCTGAAGAAGAGAAGGCTGAGAGGAGATATGATAGCCATGTATAAATATGTGAGAGGAAGCCACAGGGAGGAGGGAGCAAGCTTGTTTTCTGCTTCCCTAGAGACTAGGACGCAGAACAATGGCTTCAAACTACAAGAGAGGAGATTCCATCTGAACATGAGGAAGAACTTCCTGACTGTGAGAGCCGTTCAGCAGTGGAACTCTCTGCCCCGGAGTGTGGTGGAGGCTCCTTTTTTGGAAGCTTTTAAACAGAGGCTGGATGGTCGTGATTTGAATGCAATATTCCTGCTTCTTGGCAGAATGGGGTAGGACTGGATGGCCCATGAGGTCTCTTCCAACTCTTGGATTCTATGATTCTATGATAAGACTCCTCGGTCCCTTTCCCGTGGACAGTTTCCAAGCCAAGTGTCACATATCGTCTGTCTGTGCCTTTCCTTGTTCTGTCCTAAGTTTAGCACAGTAGATTGCTCCATGGCGAAATTCCTATTGTTCGTTTTGGCCATTTGCGGTCGTATCCTCTGCGGTGTTAGTGCCACCTACACATGGGATTGGCAATGCCATGCTCTCTAGTCATTGATGTAGAGCAGTGTTTCTCTACCTGGGGGTCGGGACCCCTTGAGGGGTCGCGAAGGGGTGTCAGACGGGTCGCCAAAGACCATCAGAAAACACAGTATTTTCTGTTGGTCATGGGGGTTCTGTGAGGGAAGTTTGGCCCAATTCTGTCATTGTTGGGGTTCAGAACGCTTCTTGATTGTAGATGAACTATAAATCCCATCAGGTACAACTCCCAAATCTCAAGGTCTATTTTCCCAAAAATCCACAAGTGTTCACATTTGGGCATATGGAGTATCCGTGCCAAGTTTGGTCCAGATCCATCCTTGTTTGAGTCCACAGTGCTCTCTGGATGTAGGCGAACTTCAACTCCCAAACTCAAGGTCAATGCCCACCAAACCCTTCCAGTATTTTCTGGTCCAGATCCATCATTGTTTGAGTCCACAGTGATCTCTGGATGTAGGTGAACTACAACTCCAAAATCAAAGGACACTGCCCACTAAACCCTTCCAGTATTTTCTGTTGGTCTTAGGAGAACTGTGTGCCAAGTTTGGCCCAATTCTATCGTTGGTGGGGTTCAGAATACTCTGTGATTGTAGGTGAACTACAAATCCCAGCAACGACAACTCCCAAATGTTAAGATCTATTTTCCCCAAACTCCACCAGTGTTCACATTTGGGCATATTGAGTATTCATGTCAAGTTTGGTCCAGATCCATCATTGTTTGAGTCCACAGTGCTCTCTGGATGTAGTGAACTACAACTCCAAAACTCAAGGTCAATGCCCACCAAACCCTTCCAGTATTTTCTGTTGGTCATGGGAGTTCTGTGTGCCAAGATTGGTTCAATTCCATCATTGGTGGAGTTAAGATATGTGCAGTGTGCATAGGAATTCATTCATAGAATCATAGAATCAAAGAGTTGGAAGAGACCTCCTGGGCCATCATCCAGTCCAGCCCCATTCTGCCAAGAAGCAGGAATATTGCATTCAAAGCACCCCTGACAGATGGCCATCCAGCCTCTGCTTAAAAGCTTCCAAAGAAGGAGCCTCCACCACACTCCGGGGCAGAGAGTTCCACTGCTGAACGGCTCTCACAGTCAGGAAGTTCTTCCTAATGTTCAGATGTAATCTCCTCTCTTGTAGTTTGAAGCCATTGTTCCGCGTCCTAGTCTCCAAAGAAAACAAGCTTGCTCCCTCCTCCCTGTGGCTTCCTCTCACATATTTATACATGGCTATCATATCTCCTCTCAGCCTTCTCTTCTTCAGGCTAAACATGCCCAGCTCCTTGAGCTGCTCCTCATAGGGCTTGTTCTCCAGACCCTTGATCATTTTAGTCGCCCTCCTCTGGACACATTCCAGCTTGTCAATATCTCTCTTGAATTGTGGTGCCCAGAATTGGACACAATATTCCAGGTGTGGTCTAACCAAGGCGGAATAGAGGGGTAGCATGACTTCCCTAGATCTAGACACTATGCTCCTATTGATGCAGGCCAAAATCTCATTGGCTCTTTTTGCCGCCACATCACATTGTTGGCTCATGTTCAACTTGTTGTCCACGAGGACTCCAAGATCTTCCTCACACGTACTGCTCTCGAGCCAGGCGTCCCCCATTCTGTATCTCTGCATTTCGTTTTTCTGCCTAAGTGGAGTATCTTGCATTGTCACTGTTGAACTTCTTTTGTTAGTTTTTGTCCCATCTCTCTAATCTTTTAAGATCATTGGTTTGCAGGACACGGAGTGGCTGGGCCGCAACCAGGTGCTGCGCCACGGGCCGGTCACGTGGTACATCGACGGGGCCCACACCACCAGCAGCATCCAGGCCTGCGTCCGCTGGTTCCGCCAGGCCGCCCAGATCGGGAAGAAGCCGGCGGAGTAAGTGGGAAGGAAGCGGGGAAGCCACGCGTGGGTCCCAAAGCACAGCCCTCCGAGCCCAGACTGAAACCCAAACAGAGACATAATGTATTGTCGAAGGCTTTCATGGCCGGAATCAGTGGGTTGTTGTAGGTTTTTTCGGGCTATATGGCCATGGTCTAGAGGCATTCTCTCCTGACGTTTTGCCTGCATCTATGGCAAGCATCCTCAGAGGTAGCGAGGTCTGTTGGAACTAGGAAAAAGGGTTTATATATCTGTGGAACGACTAGGCTGGGACAAAGGACTCTTGTCTGCTGGAGCTAGGTGGGAATGTTTCAACTGACCACCTTAATTAGTGGGTTGTTGTAGGTTTTTTCGGGCTATATGGCCATGGTCTAGAGCCATGATGGCGAACCTATGACACGTGTGTCAGCACTGACACGCGTAGCCATTTTCGATGACACACAGCCGCATGTGGCCGCATACAGAGAAGATGGGGCCGCATCCCAAGAAGGACATTTCATCCTCGGCTCCTACACCAGCATTTTTCTGTAATGCCGAGATATATGGCATTATAGAAAAATCAGTTAAGTTAAATAATTAGTTTTTGGTTTATTAAATACAGTTATATATTACAATAATATATTTTTGTTATTAAACTATAAATATCATGACATTATGGGTTTTTCTCGAAGTGACACCCCACTCGAGTTATGCTCGGTTTTTTGGCGAGTATTGACACACCAAACTCAAAAGGTTGCCCATCATTGGTCTAGAGGCATGCTCCCCTGACGTTTTGCCTGCATCTATGGTCATTCCACAGATATATAAACCTCATTTTCCTAGTTCCAACAGACCTCACAACCTCTGAGGATGCTTTCCATAGATGCAGGCGAAACGTCAGGAGAGAATGCCTCTAGAGCATGGCCATATAGCCCGAAAAAACCTATAACAACCCATTCACACCTAGCTCCAACAGACAAGAGTCCTTTGTCCCACCCTGGTCATTCCACAGATATATAAACCCTTTTTCCTAGTTCCAACAGACCTCACAACCTCTGAGGATGCTTTCCATAGATGCAGGCGAAACGTCAGGAGAGAATGCCTCTAGAGCATGGCCATATAGCCCGAAAAAAAACTACAACAACCCACAGAGACATAATGGTGCCTTCTTTCTCTCTCTCCTTCGCAGTGGCTCCGAGGTCCGGGTGTTGATCTTCAACGTGACAGGCAACCGGGACACGGCCGCCTTTTTGAAGCTGCTCGTGGTGAGCTTCTTGGCTGTTTATGTTTGTTTATTATTTATTTATTTAAAAGTTTTGTATACCGACCTTCTCACCTCTTTTGAGGGACTCAGACCGGTTTCCAACCATAAAATCACATACAGTCAGTAAAACAACATAATTCATATTACAATAACACATTAAAACAGCAAATATATTCAATAACTACAATGGTCAGTCGTCATACTAAAATCGATTGTACATCATCTTCCATCCAGGGTGTTGGCTCACTCATCGAATGCCTGTCTCCATAACCACGTCTTCACCTGTTTCCTGAATGTCAGGATAGACGGGGCGGTTCTGATCTCCAGTGGGAGAGAGTTCCAGAGTCGAGGGGCCACCACCGAGAAGGCCCTGTCCCTCGTCCCCACCAGACGCGCTTGCGAGGCCGGTGGGACTGAGAGCAGGGCCTCTCCAGACGATCTTAATAATCTTGATGGTTCATAGGGGAGAATACGTTCGGAGAGGTAAACAGGGCCGGAGTCGTTTAGGGCTTTATAGGTTAACACCAGCACTTTGAATTGTGCTCGGAAGCTAATTGGCAGCCAGTGGAGCTGGTGTAACAGCGGAGTGGTGTGCTCCCTGTACCCAGCACCCGTTAGTAGTCTGGCTGCCGAGCGTTGGACTAGCTAGCTTCCGGGCAGTCTTCAGAGGCAACCCCATGTAGAGAGCGTTGCAGTAGTCTAAACGTGGCCAAGTCGGACTTCCCAAGGTACGGGCGCAGCTGGTGCAAAAGTTTTAATTGAGACCTGGGGCTCCAGGCTCAGCGATGAGTCCAGGGGGAGTGTGACCCACCCAACAGAGGCTGTAACCCTATGCCCTGTTCAATGGCCTTTCGACTGACCAGGAGGACCTCTGTCTTGTCTGGATTTAGTTTCAATCTGTTGTCCCTCATCCAGACCGTCACAGCGGCCAAGCACCGGTTCAGGACCTGGACAGCCTCCTTAGTAGCAGGTGGGAAGGAGTGACAGAGTTGGACATCATCCGCGTACAGATGACACCGCACCCCGAAACTCCGGATGATCTCCCCCAGCGGCTTCATGTAGATGTTAAACAACATGGGAGACAGTATTGAGCCCTGGGGGACTCCACAGTACAATGGCCGAGGAATCGAGCAGGGGTCCCCTAGCGACACCTTCTGGGAGTGACCCTCGAGAAAGGACCGGAGCCACTGCAAGGCAGTACCCCCAAGACCCATTCCCGCAAGGCGTCCCAGAAGGATTTATTTATTTCTTTATTTATTTACTATTCTTGTATACCGCTGCATCTCAAGCCCGAGGGCGACTCACAGCGGTTTCCAAACAGCAAAGACCATAAAAACAGCAATAATTAATATACAATAACAGTTAAATTACACATTTCCCTTAATAACTAATAAACAATCATCAATACACAGGTATCACAAATCCCATCCCCCGATCGCCTCATCATCCAAGCGTGATCCAAATTTGTTGTCCATTGTTCCGTTCCTATGTTCAAATTGCCACAGTTGCACTGAATTACTCAAACGCCTGCACAAACATCCAGGTCTTCAACTTTCTACGGAATGTCATGAGAGATGGTGCCAGCCTAACGTCTATACAGGAAGGGCGTTCCACAGCCGAGGAGCCACCACCGAGAAGGCCCTATCTCTCGTCCCCGCCAACCGTGCTTGAGAGGCTGGCGGGATGGAGAGCAGGGCCTCCCCGGAAGATCTCAAAGTCCGGGTGGGTTCATAGGCCGAGATGCGGTCGGATAGGTATCTTGGGCCGGAACCGTTTAGGGCTTTATAGGCCAATACCACACCTTGAATTGGGCCCGGTAGCAAATCGGCAGCCAGTGGAGCTGGTGCAACAGGGGGGTTGTGTGCTCCCTGCGCTCCGCTCCTGTTAGAATCATGGCTGCCGTCTTCAGGGGCAGCCCCACGTAGAGAGCGTTGCAGTAGTCTAGGCAGGATGTGACAAGGATACCGTGGTCGACGGTATCGAAGGCTGAAGAGAGGTCTAGCAGAACCAACAGGGACACACTCCCCCCGTCCAGTTCCCGGCGAAACAAAATCATGTTGAAACAAAACCATAACCTGCTCTATTGTCCATTCATTTATATAAGTGGAAACTTTCAGATGTATTTCATGGCCGGGATCACTGGGTTGCTGTGAGTTTTTCTAGCTGTGTGGCCATGTTCCAGCAGCATTCTCTCCTGACGTTTTGCCTGCATCTGTGGCTCATGGTGTCTTCAGGCGTCATAGCAATCCAACTATGGGATGACTCGAAGGGCTTGATGTTGACGTGAGGCCCCTTGAAAGGATTGTATTTAAAAACAATCACTTTCTGCAGCGTATCAGGACCAAAGTTGGGTTGTTGTAGGTTTTTTTCAGGCTATATGGCCATGGTCTAGAGGCATTCTCTCCTGACGTTTCGCCTGCATCTATGGCAAGCATCCTCAGAGGTAGTGAGGACCAAAGTTTCCTGAAATATATCATCGTTGCCTTCTTATCGGAAGGGTAAAATGATTTAAACGAACGCTGCTATGGGTTGCACACTGCTTTCCAGCTGAAACCATCCAAGTGCATCATCAGTAAGCAGTAATAATAATTTGGTAGAGTTTTTATCTGCTTTGAGTCTCATAGAGAAAAATGGTGTATTATTATTATTATTATTATTAGATATAGATTTTAGGTGCATTGAGTCCTGTCATACAGAAAAAGTGGGATATAATCATAATAATCTATATAAATAACAATGTCATGTTTGTTTGTGGGATTAGCATAACTCCAAAACCACTGGATGAATTGAGACCAAATTTGGACACAAGACACCTCTCCGGCCAACGAGTGACCCTCACTCATAAAAACACTGAAAAACACAGTGGAAATGACTTAAAAAACCCCAAAAGCTAAATGATAAAAAGCTAAATGACAATACAGGAAAAAGGGAGGGAGGGAAGGAAGGAAGGGGAGAAAGGAAGGAAGGAAGGAAGGAGAGAAAGAGGGAGGGAAAGAAAGAAAAAAGTGAAGGAAGGAAAGGTAGAGAAGGAAGGAAGGAGAGAATGAAAGAAAAGATAGGAAGGAAAGAGGGAGAGAAGGAAGAAAGAGGGAGGGAAGGAAAGAGAGAAGGAAGGATGGATGGAAGCAAAAAGTGAAGGAAGGAAGGAAAGAGGTAGAGAAGGAAGAGAGGGAGGGAAGGAAAGAAGGAAAGAGAGAAGGAAGGATGGAAGCAAAAAGTGAAGGAAGAAAGGAAAGAGGTAGAGAAGGAAGGAAGGAGAGAAAGAGGGAAGAAAAGAAAGAAGGAAAGAGGGAGAGATGGAAGGGAGAAAGAGGGAGGGAAGGAAAGAAGAAAAGAGAGAAGGAAGGATGGAAGCAAAAAGTAGGAGGAAGGAAAGAGGTAGAGAAGGAAGGAAGGAGAGAATGAAAGAAAAGATAGGAAGGAAAGAGGGAGAGAAGGAAGAAAGAGGGAGGGAAGGAAGGAAGGAAGGAAAGAGGTAGAGAAGGAAGGAGAGAATGAAAGAAAAGATAGGAAGGAAAGAGGGAGAGAAGGAAGAGAGAGGGAAGGAAAGAGAAGGAAGGATGGAAGCAAAAATGAAGGAAGGAAAGAAGGGAAGGAGGAGAGAAGAAGAAAGGAGAGGAAAAGAAAAAGGGGAAAGAAAGAAAGAGGTAGAGAAGGAAGGAAGGAAAAAAGGAAAGGAAGGCAAGAGGGAGCGAAGGAACGAGGGAAAGAAGAGAAAGAGGGAGGAAAGGTTGGCCACAGCAACGCGTGGTGGGTACAGCTAGTAGTAGTAGTAATAATGATGCAGTCTTATGCAAATTGTCACATTTGCATATGTAAAGGAGCTCCCGGTGGTGCAGTGGGTTAAACTGCAGAGCTGCTGAACTTGCTGGCTAAAAGGTTGGCGGCTCAAATGCAGGTAGCAGGGTGAGCTCCCGCTGTTAGCCCCAGCTTCTGCCAACCTAGCAGTTAGAAAACATGCAAATGTGAGTAGGTACTGCTCCAGTGGGAAGGTAATGGCACTCCATGCAGTCATTCCGGCCGTATGCTTCCTTAGGCATGTTGGAATCCCACCGCAATGGAGCTTCTTTCCTGACGTTCTGTCCCTTCTTTCTTTCTCTTTGCAGCCCTGCCAGTTCGACTACGCCGTCTTCTGCCCCAATTTCACCGAAGTGTCTACTGTCGGGAACGCAGGTCAGTCCTTTTCACTATGTTTAAATAGTACTGAAAACCATTTCAAGAATACTGAATTCTGTTCAGATTGAGACTCATTCCGATGTGATGTAGTGGCTGGCGTATTATTTTTTATTTAACGTGTGTGTTCATTACATTTGTAACGAACTGGATTCCAAGACATAGACTGTTAGGAGAAATGGTTAGGCCCATAATTGCAGTTCCTGTTCTCCACATGGATCAAGCCAAAGGCCCATTGTGTCATTAGATGTAACCCTCCAGGTACTGGACTACAACTCCCATGTTCCTCCGCATTAGGCGTCATGACTCGAGTTGATGGGAGTTGGAATACAGTCACATCTGGGGGTCTGCAGTTTGGTCTGTTTACTCAGGAGGGTATTATTATTATTATTATTATTATTATTATTATTATTTTGATATTATATTAATTTTATTTTTTATTTTAATATTATTTTATTTTATTATTATTTTAATTATATTATTTTTATTTTATTATTTATTATTGTAATATTATTTTATTTTAATTATTTATTTTATTATATTCTTCTTCTTTTATATTATTTTAATATTATATTATTTTTATCATTTAAATATTTTATTATTGATTATATTTATTATTATTTGAAAGACAAGATTAGTACATAGCAAACAAAATCACTAATCTTGTTGTTTTTCAATTTATTTATTTTTTGTCGTGTCAGGAGCGACTTGAGAAACTTCAAGTCGCTTCTGGTGTGAGAGAATTGGCCGTCTGCAAGTACATTGCCCAGGGGACGCCCGGATGATTTGATGTTTTTATCATCCTTGTGGGAGGCTTCTCACATGTCTCCGCATGAGGAGCTGGAGCTGACAGAGGGAGCTCATCCGCCTCTCCCCGGATTCGAACCTGTGACCTGTCGGTCTTCAGTCCTGCCGGCACAGGGGTTTAACCCACTGGACCGCCGGGGGCTCCGTTTTTCAAATAATAAAATAATAATAATAATAATATAAATAAATAGGGCCTCTTCGAGGAGAAGATGGGGCAATGTTGACAGGGGATAGGGAAAAGGCAGAACTACTTAATGCCTTCTTTGCCTCGGTCTTCTCACAAAAAGAAGGTCATCTTCAACCTCAGCAAGATGGAGTGGATGAGGGATTAGAGGACATCCAACCCCAAATTGGGAAACAAGTCGTACAGGAATACCTGGCCGCTCTAAATGAGTTCAAGTCCCCAGGGCCAGATCAACTACACCCAAGAGTACTGAAGGAACTAGCAGAAGTCATTTCGGAACCATTGGCAACCATCTTTGAGAGTTCTTGGAGAACGGGAGAAGTTCCAGCAGATTGGAGGAGGGAAGATCTAGTGAAGTCATGCTCCCCATGCTCTATTCTGCTTTGGTTAGACCACACCTGGAATATTGTGTCCAATTCTGGGCACCACAATTCAAGAGAGATATTGACAAGTTGGAATGTGTCCAGAGGAGGGACTAAAATGATCAAGGGTCTGGAGAACAAGCCCTATGAGGAGCGGCTTAAGGAGCTGGGCATGTTTAGCCTGAAGAAGAGAAGGCTGAGAAGAGATATGATAGCCATGTATAAATATGTGAGAGGAAGCCACAGGGAGGAGGAGGGAGCAAGCTTGTTTTCTGCTTCCCTGGAGACCAGGACGCAATGGAACAATGGCTTCAAACTACAAGAGAGGAGATTCCATCTGAACATGAGGAAGAACTTCCTGACTGTGAGAGCCGTTCAGCAGTGGGACTCTCTGCCCCAGAGTGTGATGGAGCCTCCTTCTTTGGAGGCTTTTAAACAGAGGCTGGATGGCCATCTGTCAAGGGTGCTTTGAATGCAATATTCCTGCTTCTTGGCAGAATGGGGTTGGACTGGATGGCCCATGAGGTCTCTTCCAACTCTAGGATTCTGAGGCTGGATGGCCATCTGTCAGGGGTGATTTGAATGCAATATTCCTGCTTCTTGGCAGAATGGGGTTGGACTGGATGATGGCCCAGGAGGTCTCCTCCAACTCGTTGATTCTAGGATTCTATGAAATAAATAAAATAATATTGAAATGATAAAAAATAATAAAATAAAATAATAATAATAATAATTATTATTATTATTATTATTATTTATACCCCTCTTTACCTCTCCTTAACTTGAAAGGGCCATTGTCATTGGTAATGTAAACATGTTGTTTCCCACCAAGCTTTAACCAAATCAGCCATGTCAACAGATAATCATGGTCGCAGTTCTCATCAGCAACTTTTAATTACAATCCGTGAATGTAGTTGTGTTCCAGACCTCAGTATTTCCAGGCCTGGTATAGATCCTGTTGCAGTGTCCTTCTCCGGCCGCTTTCCGTAACGTTCTCCTGCTCTTCCTTGGCTTTTTCAGACCAGCAGAACTTCAATGTGACGCTGGAACACGTCCTGACGCGCTGCCTGCAGAACCAGGCGCAGTGGCTGCGGCTGACCGAGGCCGAGGCGGGCCGCGACCCCTGGCCCTTGGAAGGACCCTTGGGGGGTCCCCCGCTCCCGCCGCCCGGAGCCAATGCGCTGGTCTTCCCTTGTGCCTCCCAAGCCTTGCGGTGGGCCAGCCAGGGCCGTGACCCCTGCCTTGAACCCTTGCCCGGGACCGGCAGCAGCGCAGCCGTCCATCTACGCGAGGCGGACGCCATCCAGGTGCTGGTGACCGGCAGCCTCCATCTAGTGGGGGCCGCCCTCAAGCTGCTGGACCCCTCCCTTTCCCAGTAGGACCCGCCGGAGGAGGTGCTAGTCCTCAGTGCACGAGGCTGACCGTCGTTGAAGCCCAGGAGCACGCCATCCACTCAACGCCCATTGGAATGCCTTCTCGCCTCTCCTTCCTTCCTTCCTTCCTTCCTTCCTTCCTTCCTTCCTTCCTTCCTTCCTTCCTTCCTTCCTTCCTTCCTCGCTGCCTTGCCTCCCGGAGGCTCCTCGAAGCAAGAAGTGCCTTTGATCCCTTGCCTCTTGATCCGTTTTGGTTCCCTTCGCTTTGTAGTTCGCCCTCACTGTGTTGCGTCTCTGTGTTTGTGGGATGGGGCGAGTTCCAACATTTTGGGGGACCATTTCCGGTTGCGGTTGCCTTTGTTTACCCCCCAAAAAAGATACGATTGCTACATTGCTGCGCCGATCTGTTTGAGCGTAAAGAGGAAAAGGCCGGGGGAGAAGAGGTCTCGAGGGGCACCTTTGGGTCCAGATTCTCTCCTGAACTGCTTTTGCATTGAGATCAATGGGGCGTCAATCACATCATCCTAATCCTAGGTTGCTGTGAGTTTTTTGGGTTGTATGGCCATGCTCCGGTAGCATTCTCTCCTGACCTTTTCGCCTGCATCTGTAGAGGCCACCGGGGGAGCTTTCGCTTCGCCATCCACCAATGGAGTACTTCCTCATTCTTCTGCACACTGCTGGAGATTTTTATGGCATTGTAAATTAGTTAAATCAGCCTCCCTGCGTTAAGCGGTACCTAAATTTCCTAAATGACAGATGCAATTGTCTTTCGGGCTGCAACGGTCAACAGCAAGCTAGACAAATGGTTGGGAGCTTACAGGCTTCAAACTCATGACCTTTTGGTCAGTCGTGATTTTAATGCAGCTGACTCTCAACCAAAAACTCACAACAACCTAGTGATTCTGGCCCTCGACAACACCGGGCTTTCGGCAAGGACTGGCCACTGGGAGGCACTGGCAGCTCAGAAATCTCTCGCCAATTCTTTTTTCCATTGCTCTCCTGTTTAGAAGGAGCCAAGACGAAGCTTTTGGCTGCACCCTAGTGCCCATCAGCTCCATCCAGCGTAGGGATGATAGGACACGTAGTCCAAGAGTGCGTGTCTCAAAGGCCACAGCTTCCCTCGATCTCGGTCTCATCCAACCTTGGGCACAACTTACAGGTGTCCCAGGTGTTTTGGATGCAACGATTTGCACATTGTCGCCCTTTCCCCAGATCAGCTCGTGCATTAAATCCATGAATGATTCTGTCCCTCCCTAGATTGGTTGGACTGCAAAGCCCAGCGTCCTTCACCACTGTCCGCATTGGCTTGCTCAGGATGGTGGGCTTTGCAGTTGGCTTCCCTTTGTGAATGGATGCCCAACATGCTGTATTTGGCACAAACCCAGACTGCCTGGGAATGGTGGGAGTTGTAGTGTTCTGCATCAGGAAGGCACGGGGTTATGGAACTGGAAAACTGACATTTTTATCTTTGCACTGAAATGGTTCCCAATGTCGGGGGGGGGGGGGGCACAAGGGCTTTTCAACTTTGGGGGAAAACATGTTACTGACAGTCAAGGGCTAGGTTTGGAAGCATCTTTCTCCTGTTGGTGCCTGACCCTTCCTTTTCCCCCTTCTTTCTTTCCGTCTGTTCTCCCCCCCCCCTTCCTTTCCTTCATCTTCCTTTTTCCTTCCTTTCCTCCCTTCTTTTCCCCCCTTTCACCTTTCTTTTCCTTTCCTTTGTTTTCTTCCTTCTCTTCCTTTCCTTTTTCCATCCTTCTTTCTTTCCCTCCCTTTCCATCTGTCCTTCCTTTCCCCTCATCCTTTTTTCCTTTCCTTCCTTCCCTTTCCATCTGTCCTTCCTTTTCCCTCTTCCTTTTCCTTCTGCCCTTCCTATTTCCCTCTTCCTTTCTTTCCCTCCATTCGTCCCCTTCCTTTCCTTCATCTTCCATTTTCCTTCCTTCTTTCCCTTCCTTCCCCCCTTCACCTTTCTCTTCCTTTCCTTCATTTTCTTCCTTCTCACTTCCTTTCCTTTCTCCCTTTTCTTCCTTCTTTCTTTCCCTCTTTCCACCAGCTTTCCTGATCCCTTTTTCTTCCTTTTCTTTCCCTTCCTCCTTTTCCTTTTTCCCCCCCTTTTCCCTCTTCCTTTCCTTCCTCCCTTTCGATCTGTCCTTCATTTTCCTTTTTTTCTTCCTTCCCTCCCTTTCCATCTGTCCTTACTTTTCCCTCTTCCTTTTCCCTCCTTTTCCTTCCCTTCCTTTTTCCTTCCCCCTTTTCCTTCTGCCCTTCCTTTCCCCCTTCCTTCCTTCCCTCTTTTTCTCTTTCCTTCCTTCCTTTTCCTTCCTCCTTTCCCCTTCATCTTCCTTTCTCCTTCCAGCTGTCCTTCCTGTTCCCTCTTTCTTCTTTTTCCTTCCCTCCCTTCTTTTCCTTCTGCCCCTTTTTCCTCATCCTTCCTCCCTTTCCATCTGTCCTTTCTTTTCCTTTTTTCCTTTCTTCCCTCCCTTTCCTTTCTCCTTCTTTCCCTCCCCTTTTCCTTCCCTCCTTCCCTCCTTTTTTTCCTTCTTCCTTCCTTTTCCCCTTCCTTTTCCTTCCTCCTTCCTTCCTTCCTCCTTTCCTCTTCTTCCCTTTCCCTTCCCTCCTTTTTTTCCTTCTGCCCTTCCTTTTCCCACTTCCTTTTTCCTTCCCTCCCTCCCTTTCCATCTATCCTTACTTGTCTCTCTTCCTTCCTTTTCCTTCCCTCCCTTCCCTTCTGCCCTTCCTTCCTTTTTCCCCTTCCCTCCCTCCTTTTCCTTCTGCCCTTCCTTCCTTTTCCCCCTTCCCTCCCTCCTTTTCCTTCTGTCCTTCCTTTTTCCCCTTCCCATCTATCCTTGTCTCTCTTCCTTCCTTTTCCTTCCCTCCCTTCCCTTCTGCCCTTCCTTCCTTTTCCCCCTTCCCTCCTTCCTTTTCCTTCTGTCCTTCCTTTCCCCTCTTCCTTTCATCTCCCTTCCTTCCTGCTTCCTCTCAAAGGAGTAATATATATCAGAGCCCTCTTTATATTTTATTTCCCCCTCCCACCCTATTTTTAAATTAAACCTTTGGACTACTTTTCACGCGTGGCTCTTCTTCCTTTCTCAAAGTGCCGGCCGGGTTTTCTTTTCCAAGCCCTCCAAATCCGGCGGCTGCCCGTCAAACGAAGACCTGCCTGGATGCCACGCTTGATGGACACGTGGCTTCGCTCATTGGCTTCGGGAAAAACGGCTCAACAACGTCAGCACAACACATCATATATATATATATTTTATACAAAATTCGAGGTTACAGTTGGTCCGGTACAAAATAATAATAATATGTACAGGTTGAAATATAAGTGTGACTCATCGACGCGGAGGTTTCTCCAAACCGTTGGGGTCAGTCAAGGTCCATTTTGCAGAAGGGACATTATGAAAGTTGAGTTGCTGTGAGTTTTCTGGGCTGTCTGGCCAATATGTTCCAGCAGCATTCTCTCCTGACGTTCTGCCTGCATCTGGCCAAAGGCATCTTCAGAGGTTCTGTTGGTGTTAGAGCAAGTGGAGTGTATACATACCTATGGAATAATGCCCAGGGTGGAAAAAAGACCGTGTTTCCCCAAAAATAAGACATCCCCTGAAAATAAGGCCTAGTGCAGTGGTTCTCAACCTTCCTAATACCACGACCCCTTAATACAGGTCCTCATGTGTGGTGACCCCCAACCATAACGTTATTTTCGTTGCTACTTCATAGCTAATTTTGCTACTGTTATGAATCATCATGTAAATATCTGATATGCAGGATGTGTTTTCAGTCCCTGGACCAAATTTGGCACAAATACCCGATACGCCCAAAATTTGAATACTGGTGGGGTTGGGGGTGATTGATTTTGTCATTTGGTAATGCTGGAGTTGCTGGGATTTATAGTTCACCTAAAATCAAAGAACCTTCTGAACTCCATCAATGATGGAATTGAATCAAACATGGCACACAGAATTCCCATGACCAAGAGAAAATACTGGGAGGGTCTGGTGGACATTGACCCTTGAGTTTTTGGAGTTGTAGTTCACCAACACCCAGAGAACACTGTGGACTCAAGCAATGATGGATCTGGATCAAAATTGGCACAAATACTCAATATGCCCAAATGTGAACACTGGTAGAGTTTGGAGAAAATAGACCTTGCCATTTGGGAGTTGCAGTTGTTGGGATTTATAGTTCACCCACAATGAAATAGTATTCTTAACCCCACCGATGATAGAATTGGACCAAACTTTCCACACAGAACCCCCATGACCAACAGAAAATACTATGTTTTCTGATGGTCTTTGGCGACTCCTCTGACACCCCCTCACGACCCCCACAGGGGTCCCGACCCCCAAGTTGAGAAACACTGGCCTAGTGCATCTTTGGGAGTAAAAAAATAACATAAGATATGAATCATATTTTCAGGGAAACGGGGTATGGATTGCAATTAGCAAGCTTGATTAGCATTGAGCAGCCTTGCAGCTGCAAAGTCAATCAGTGAGGGTATCTGCACAGAGATAGACCTGGTGACCAGTACTGAACAAGACCGTCAATAAAGAACACCACGGGAGGAATTCCAGACTGCAAACAACCAAGTGCCAGTTCACACCGCCCAAACCGAGGGTGCCTCCAGGCAACAACAGCCAGGCTACCTCTATGCCAGGCATGGGCAAAGTTTGCCCCTCCCTCCAGGTGTTTTGGACTTCAACTCCCACAATTCCTAATAATCTTGAGCCGGGCAACGGGTGCATGATATTATGGAAGCCCCGTCCTTGCGATCGGACTGTTGGAAAACACGCCATTGGGAACATGCAGCTCGACTCTCCTGTATACACCAGTGCAAAATATATCCTATGTATCACTATTTATATAAAAGTACAGGAATGGGTATGTCAAAGCAGACCGGGGTCGACCTCCTTCCCTTGAGGGGGAAGCACTGCCTTCCTTCTCCCCCCAAAAGGGTTATGCTTCACCCCCTTTTTCTGCGCAAGGAGAACCGCCATGCTCCTCTTGCCCCCCAAGTGAGTGGTGTTCAAATCCATGCCCTGAAAACGCGGGGCAGGAATCGCCCCAGGAATAGCAGCAAACGGGGGACGCCTTGCATTGGTTTTGCGGCAGAGGAGAAAGACGAGTCCTTAGGGGTTCGGGTTCTAGGTTGGACATGAATTGCAGGCATCAAACGACATGTTCTGGAACCCAAAGGTACACCCCAAGTTCACCAGCAAAGGGAGCAAGCCTTGCAATGGGTCCCGACAATGACAGGCGAGCCAGGAGGACGTTCCGCTTCTCTGGAGATCCGAACGGCGATCCACAAAGATGTCTTCAAAGTGCTGGCGAAAGGGAGCCGCTTCTCCAAATGCCGTATTTCACCGCATAATGGTTGCGTTTTGTCATCTCAATTGTCTCCTCTTCAAGGTGCGACCATTATTCGAAGAAGAAAAATGTGCCTAATCTAATCTCAATTTTGTGGGGTGACAAAAAGGTGCAACCATTGTGTGAAGAAGAAAAAAATGTTACTTTGATTCTCCTCAATTTGGGGGGGGGGGGTGCAAAAAAGGCGCGACCATTATGCGAAGAAGAAAAAATGTGACTTATTCTCCTCAATTTGGGAGGGGGGGTGCAAAAAGGTGCAACCATTATGTGAAGAAGAAAAATGAGACTTTGATTCTCCTCAATTTGGGGGGGGTGCAAAAAAAGGTGCGACCATTATGCGAAGAAGAAGAAAATGTGACTTATTCTCCCCAATTTGGGGGAGGGGTGCAAAAAAGGTGCGACCATTATGCGAAGAAGAAAATGTGCCTTTGATTCTCCTAATCTCACTTTTGTGTGTGTGTGAAGGAGGAGGTGTGACCATTATGTAAAGAAGGAAAATTATGCAAAAAAGAAGAAATACTTTTGAGTCTCTGCTTTCTGTGTGTGGAGGATCCAAGCCCCAAACACATCCATTTCTGGAGGGTTTTGCCAGAGTAAAATGAAGAGGGAGAGAAAGAGAAAGAACACCTCGTAGTATGCTGATTTATAGCCAAACGCTTATCAGCGGTCGACACCTCAGGTAATTACTATCAGTATGCAAATGTTAATAGTCTGCCTTCTAGACCAGGCATGGGCAAGCTTTGGCCCTCCAGGTGTTTTGGACTTCCAACTCCCACAATTCCTTACAGCCCCAGGCCCTTTCCTTTTCCTCCTCAGCCACTTAAGCCAGGAATTGTGGGAATTGAAGTCCCAAACACCCAGAGGGAGGGCCGAAGTTTGCCCATGCCTGGTATACATGCAGCTATTACACAATGCAAGGCTGGAAGGAAACTTTTGGAGTAAAAAAAGGGGGTGCGACCATTACGTGATGAAATACGGTACAAGGCTCAGGGGTTGTGTGAGTCCGTGTGTGTCTTTACATTGCTACGGTTCACCTGAATTGCACCCTGTGGATTCGTCCTTGCAGCCGGGCGAAAGGGTACCCACAATATATGATCACGCTTCACTTTTGGGGGGCTGCTATGCCATGCTGCTAGTGGAGCGCGGGGTGCTCTGCGTGCTGCCGATGCTGTGGTTGGTGGTGCTGCTCTCCGACGCCGGCGGGTTTGCCGGGACCGGCTCCATTTTGCTTGCCGCCGGACCTGGCGTTGGTTCATCACAAGTCCAACGAGGAGAAGGGAGGGATGGAGGAAGCGAAGGGGAAAAAACAAAACAGGAAATAGTTTTAGAGGGGGAGCCGTTGCACAGCTGGTCCGAATCACGAGTTGACAAGCCAACAGAAAGCATATGCTGCCATTTCCTGGCTGCTTGGCATGGGAGATCAGTCCTCAATGGTTCACAGCGGACAGATCTGGCCAAGCCAATCGGGAAAAGGAGATAACGCGGGCGGCTTTCCTTGGCTCTTTCCCAGAGATTGCAAAACCAGAGCTCCAGCTGCAAACAGATTGCTGTACTGACTTGGGAAAGGATTTGGGAAAGCAAAGCCATGGAAGTTGCAGGAGATATCTGCCATTATCTCTGCATATAAATAATAATAATGATAAGATCCCAGGCCCTGGGGAAGAGCCCGGATTCAGGGACAAATCCCAGACACTTGGGCCTAATGGGKATGTGTGCTGTGTTGTTATGTACATGRAAATATAATAATATATAATGTATAATAATAATATTAATCCAATAATACCTCTAATTCAGAGARGAARCCCAGACACTTGGGCCTAATMMGCATGTCTGCTGTGTTGTTATGTACATGTAAATATAATAATATATAATYTATAATAATAATATTAATCCAATAATACCTCTAATTCAGAGACGAATCCCAGACACTTGGGCCTAATTTGCATGTCTGCTGTGTTGTTATGTACATGTAAATATAATAATATAGAATGTATAATATTAATCCAATAATACCTCTAATTCAGAGACGAATCCCAGACACTTGGGCCTAATGGGCATGTGTGCTGTGTTGTTATGTACATGCAAATATAATAATATATAATGTATAATAATAATATTAATCCAATAATACCTCTAATTCAGAGACGAATCCCAGACACTTGGGCCTAATTTGCATGTGTGCTGTGTTGTTATGTACATGTGAATATAATAATAATATATAATGTAATTATCTATATAAATAAAAATGTTCTGTTCGTTTGTGGGATTAACATAACTCAAAAACCACCGGACGAATTGTCACCAAATTTGGACACAAGACAACAAGTGGCCATCACTCATAAAAACAGCAGAAGGGGCTTCAAAAGCTAAAAACCACATTACAATGCATGTGCAAAACCACACATATATATACACACACAAAACACATATACACAGAGTGGGTCACAGCAACCCGTGGCAGGGGGTGGCTAGTAATATATAATAACATATCATAGAATAATAATGTATAATAATAATAATAATAATCTAATAATACCTCTAATATCCTAGGCTCTTGGGAAGAATAGCCCCAGACACCAGGACCTAATGTGCATATGTGGTGTGATGTTATGTACATGTAAATATAATAATAACATATCATAGAATAATAATGTATAATAATAATCTAATAATACCTCTAATATCCTAAACTCTTGGGAAGAGCCCGGTATTCAGAGAATAACCCCAGAGACCGGGACCTAATGTGCATATGTGCTGTGATGTTATGTTGTTCACTCGTTCAGTCGTCTCCGACTCTTCGTGACCTCATGGACCAGCCCACGCCAGAGCTCCCTGTCGGCCGTTACCACCCCCAGCTCCCTCAAGGTCAGTCCAGTCACTTCAAGGATGCCATCCATCCATCTTGCCCTTGGTCGGCCCCTCTTCCTTTTGCCTTCCACTTTCCCCAGCATAATTGTCTTCTCTAGGCTTTCCTGTCTCCTCATGATGTGGCCAAAGTACTTCACTTTGTCTCTAGTATCCTTCCCTCCAGTGAGCAGTGGGCTTTATTTCCTGGAGGATGGACTGGTTGGATCTTCTCGCAGTCCAAGGCACTCTCAGAACTTTCCTCCAACACCACAGTTCAAAAGCATCGATCTTCCTTCGCTCGGCCTTCCCTAAGGTCCAGCTCTCACATCCGTAGGTGACTACAGGGAATACCATGGCTTTGACTAGGCGGATCTTTGTTGCCAGTCTGATGTCTCTACTCTTCACTATTTTATCGAGACTGGACATTGCTCTCCTCCCAAGAACTAAGCGTCTTCTGATTTCCTGGCCACAGTCTGCATCTGCACTCATCTTTGCACCTAGAAATACAAAGTCTGTCACGGCCTCCACGTTTTCTCCCTCTATTTTCCAGTTGTCAATCATTCTTGTTGCCATAATCTTGGTTTTTTTGACGTTTAGCTGCAACCCGGCTTTTGCGCTTTCTTCTTTCACCTTGATGAGAAGGCTCCTCAGCTCCTCCTCGCTTTCGGCCATCAGAGTGGTGTCATCTGCATATCTGAGGTTGTTAATGTTTCTTCCAGCAATTTTCACCCCAGCTTTGCATTCATCCAGCCCCGCACATCCTCGCATGATGTGTTCTGCATACAAGTTAAAAAGGTTGGGTGAGAGGATGCAGCCTTGCCGGACGCCTTTCCCAATCTTGAACCAGTCTGTTCCTCCGTGGTCAGTTCTGACTGTTGCTACTTGGTCCTTGTACAGATTCCTCAGGAGAGAGACAAGGTGGCTTGGGATGCCCATCCCACCAAGAACTTGCCACAATTTATGATGATCCACAGTCAAAGGCTTTAGAATAGTCAATGAAGCAGAAGTAGATGTTTTTCTGAAACTCCCTGCCTTTCTCCATTATCCAGCGGATATTGGCAATCTGGTCTCTCGTTCCTCTGCCTTTTCTAAACCCAGCTTGAACATCTGGCAACTCTCGCTCCATGTATTGCTGGAGTCTTCCTTGCAGGATCTTGAGCATTACCTTACTGGCATGAGAAATAAGGGCCACTGTACGGAAGTTTGAGCAGTCTTTCGCATTTCCCTTTTTTGGTATGGGGATATAAGTTGATTTTTTCCAGTCTGATGGCCATTCTTGTGTTTCCCATATTTGCTGGCAAATGGCATGCATCACCTTGACAGCATCATCTTTAAGATTTTAAACAGTTCAGCTGGGATCCCGTCATCTCCTGCTGCCTTGTTGTTAGCAATGCTTCTTAAGGCCCATTCAACCTCACTCCTCAGGATGTCTGGTTCTAATTCATTCACCACACCATCAAAACTATCCTCAATATTGTTATCCTTCCTATACAGATCTTCTGTATAGTCTCGCCACCTTCTCTTGATCTCTTCAGCTTCTGTTAGGTCCCTGCCATCTTTGTTTCTTATCATACCAATTTTTGCCTGAAATTTACCTCCAATGTTTCTAATTTTCTGGAAGAGGTCTCTTGTCCTTCCTATTCTGTTGTCTTCTTCCACTTCCATGCATTGCTTATTTAAAAATAGTTCCTTATCTCTTCTGGCTAACCTCTGGAATTGCGCATTTAACTGGGCATATCTCCCCTTTTCACTGTTTCCTTTTGCTTTCCTCCTTTCTTGGGCTACTTCCAGTGTCTCAGCAGACAACCATTTTGCCTTCTTGGTTTTCTTTTTCTTTGGAACGTACTTTGTTGCCGTCTCCTGAACAATGTCACGGACTTCTGTCCATAGTTCTTCTGGGACTCTGTTTACTAAATCTAGTCCTTCAAATCTGTTCTTCACTTCCACTGTATATTCGCTAGGAATGTTAGTGAGATCATATCTAACTGGTCTGTGTATTTTCCCTGATCTCTTTAGTTTTATTCTAAATTTGGCAATAAGAAGTTCGTGATCTGAGCTACAGTCAGCCCCAGGTCTTGTTTCACCGACTGGATGGATGTCCGCCACCTTTGGCTGCAAAGGATGTAGTCAATCTGATTTCGGTGTTGACCGTCTGGAGAGGTCCATGTGTAAAGCCGTCTTTTAGGTTGTTGGAAGAGAGTATTCGTTATACACAGCGAGTTTTCCTGGCAAAATTCTATCAGCCTGCGTCCCGCTTCATTTTGTTCTCCCAGACCATGCTTGCCTGTGATCCCTGTTGTCATTTGACTTCCCACCTTGGCATTCCAGTCTCCTGTAATGAAAATAATGTCTCTTTTTGGTGTATTATCCAGGAGGTCCTGCAGATCCTCATAGAACTGATCTACTTCTGCTTCTTCAGCAGCTGTGGTTGGGGCGTATATTTGGATCACTGTAATGTTGAAAGGCTTTCCTTGCACTCGAATTGAGATCATTCTCTCATTTTTTGGGTTGTATCCAAGCACCGCTTTAGCGAATTTCTTATTAATTATGAAGGCTACTCCATTTCTTCGATGTTCCTCTTGTCCGCAGTAGTAGATCTGGTGGTCATCTGATGTGAAGTGGCCCATTCCAGTCCTTCAGTTCGCTGACCCCCAGAATGTCTATCTTTAGTCTTGACATCTCACCAATAACAACATCCAATTTGCCCTGGCTCATAGATCTTACATTCCAGGTTCCTATGGTGTGTTGATCTTTAGAGCATCATCGGATTCGTCGTTCACCTCCAGTACCGTCGGCCGCTAGCCTTCCTTTCGGCTTTGAGCTAGCTGCGTCATCACATCTGGGGCTAGTTGAACTTATCCTCTGCTCCTCCCCAGTAGCATTTTGGCCATCTTCCGACCTGGGAGTCCCATCTTCCAATGGCATACCGACATATCTCTGGTTGTACTGGTCCATTTAGTTTTCTTGGCAAGGATACTGGAGTGGTTTGCCATTGCCTTCCCCAGGGATCACGCTTGGTCTGACCTCTCTGCCACAACCGTCCCGTCTTGGGTGGCCCTTCACGGTTTCGCTCATGACATCATTGAGGTGCTCAAGCTCCAGCGCCCCGACAAGGCGGTGATCCTTTGCTGTGATGTTATGTACATGTAATAAATATTATAATAATAATAATAATAATAATAATAATAATAATAATAATAATACTATGCTACATTTGGTCCTGAGATGAAAAGAAAGAAAAACCTCCCACCAGAAATTCCAACGAGCTGCGGCCAAATTGCATAAAAAATAGTGAGGAATAATAATAATAATAATAATAATAATAATAATAATAATAATAATTTATTTATTTATTTATACCCCGCCACCATGTCCCCAATGGGGATTCGGGGCGGCTCACATGAGGCCAAGCCCAAACAATTACAACAAATCAAAATACATACAGCAAATGATAACATGAAATGAAATGTAAACAAACAACTTAATGCAAAATCAAATACAGAAAATGAAATAAGGAAACAAGAAATGAGCACAAGTGACAAGGGGAAGAATAAAATATTAAAAAGATAAGTAGATATTGGTACTTACGGGTCTGCATATAGATGTACCACAAGGCCGCGGTCAGGAGCACTCCGATGAAGAAGGCGCCAAAGGTGATGCCCAGCAAGGTGCCCAGGCCCAGGCCCACATCTGCGCAGGAGCCCATGCAAAAGGGAAAGGAAGGAAGGAAAAACAATGCAGTATTTGAAATGACAAACCATGTTAACCCACATTGATTTATTTATTTGTCGTGTCATCAGCAACCATACCATTGTATTGCATTTCTCACAGAACAAAACAAACACAGAGATTATAAAAAAAGACAGGTTTTGCAAACTTGGTAGTTGATTAAATGTCCTTTGACCAGTATCTGGCCCCTTGGAGTGCCTCTGGTGTTGCCACAAAAAGGTCCTCCCTGGTGCATGTGGCAGGGCTCAGGGTGCATTGCAGCAGGTGGTCACTGGTTTGCTCTTCTCCGCACTCGCATGTCGAGGATTCCACTTTGTGGCCCCATTTCTTCAGGTTGGCTCTGCATCTCGTGGTGCCAGAGCGCAGTCTGTTCAGCGCCTTCCAAGTCGCCCCGTCTTCTGTGTGCCCAGCGGGGAGTCTGTCATTTGGTATCAGCCATGGGTTGAGGTTCTGGGTTTGGGCCTGCCACTTTTGGACTCTCGCTTGCTGGGGTGTTCCAGCGAGTGTCTCTGTAGATCTTAGAAAACTATTTCTTGATTTAAGTCGTTGACGTGCTGGCTGATACCCAAACAGGATGAGCTGGAGATGTCTCTGCCTTGGTCCTTTTCACCAGGCGGATGTCAGGTGGTGCAATACCGGCTAAGCAGTGTAATTTCTCCAGTGGTGTAGAGTGCAGACACCCCGTGATAATGCGGCATGTCTCATTCAGAGCCACACCCACTGTTTTAGCGTGGGGAGATGTGTTCCACACTGGGCATGCGTACTCAGCAGCAGAGTAGCATGGCGCAAGGGCAGATGCCTTCACTGTGTCTGGTTGTGATCCCCAGGTTGTGCCAGTCAGCTTTCATATGATATTGTTTCTAGCACCCACTTTTTGCTTGATGTTCAGGCAGTGCTTCTTGTAGGTCAGAGCACGGTCCAGAGTGACTCCCAGGTATTTGGGTGCGCTGCAATGCTCCAGTGGGATTCCTCCCTAGGTAATAATCCTCAGAGTTCGGGATGCTTGTCTGTTCTTAAGGTGAAAGGCACATGTCTGTGTTTTAGATGGATTAACCCACATTAACTTAACTGTATTTCAATGGAAGAGCCCCGGGACTGTCCACCCTTTGCAATAATCTATCTAAATAAAAACGTAATGTTCGTTTGTGGGATTAACATAACTCAAAAACCACTGGATGAATTGACACCAAATTTGGACACAAGGCACGTCTCAGGCCAACGAGTGACCATAACTCAAAAATATTTTGTCATTTGGGAGTTGTAGTTGCTGGGATTTATAGTTCACCTATAATAAAAGAGCATTCTGAACTCCACCAATGATGGAATTGGGCCAGACTTGCCACACAGAACCCCCATGACCAACAGAAAACACTGACATTGACCTTGAATTTGGGAATTGTAGTTCACCTCCATCCAGAGAACACTGGATTCAATGATGGATCTGAACCAAACTTGGCACAAATATTCCATATAATAATAATAATAATAATAATAATAATAATAATAATAATGGGGCAACTCCAGGGGCCATCCAGTCCAACCCCCTTGCAGTGAGGTCTCCTTTTTCTAGGTGTTTTCCAGCAGAGGTTGGATAGCCATCTGTCAGGAAGGTTTTGGTTGTTTCTGCGTGGAAGTCAGGCCCTTGAGATCTCTTCCAACTCTGTGCTTCTATGCATCCCACAGAAGTCCTCGACTGGCCAAAATGCACCTGAATGGGCCTTGAAGCATGAAGAAACAGGACGGCGACTCCTTTGCAGCTCAGTTTGGAAGAACTGGCAAAGAGGGGATGAATGGAACATGGCAAAGGATCATTCGGTTGCAAGCAGGGGCGGCTCGTCCATTACGCGTAGTAAGCGGTCGCAGAACACGTTTTTTTGCCAGGGGTGCAGAAGCGCCTCTGTAAATGCCCCTCGACCGCCACTTGAGGAGCGCCCCCTCAGCTCACAACAGCCCTAGCAGTCCGGGGGGAGCCTCGGCTTTCTTGCCTCGCTGCCGGGCGATCCTCTTCCCAAAGGGGCCGGGCCCTTGAGCCTCGCCTAGCCCCTCTCGTTCCTGCTCCACCCGGCCACCGGGTGCGTGAGCAGAGCCGGCGCTGAATCGTTCTCCGCGTTCGATCCCTTCCCCATGACCGGCTCCTTTTCCCGATCCCCCGGCGCTCCACCCGCCTCCTCTCTTCTCCCCAATCCATGGGTGGGCCAAGGGGCGGTGCCGCCACACCTGGCCCGCTTCGGGTCCGGAGGCATGTCTGAAGACCCCAGCGTGCGCACCAAAAGTCGCCTCTTCTCCTGACTTTCTCTTCAGCCATTGGGACCAAGAGAGAGAGAGAGAGAGCCCCTCCGGCTGGAGGTATCTCCCACCTCCGCTCCCTCCTTTGTTTTTGCGCCTACCTTCAGGAAAGGTGGGCATCTCCACCTCTCTCTCTCTCTCTCTCTCTCTCTTGGTCCCAATGGCTGAGGAGAAAGTCAGGAGAAGAGGTGACTTTTGGGTCTTCAGGCACGCCTCCGGACCCAAAGCGGGCCAGGCAAGGGAGCAAGTGCGGCAAGTGTAGTTACTGGGATGTATAGTTCACCTACAATCAAAGAGCATTCTGAACTCCACCAATGATAGAATTGAATTGAACCAAATATGGCACACAGAACTCCCACGACAAACAGAAAATATATATCAATGATTGGTTGGGGGGGGGGGCGCCAAAATACTGTTTGTTTACCGTTGAAAATTACCTAGGGCCACCTCTGGTTGCAAGGTATGCTTGGAATGCCAGGCTGTGGCAGGAAAGCACACCTGGGTTTCTCCAAAGAACAACAACTTTGGGGAAGTCCTGGAAGCGTGTCACGACAGGGAGAGCATTCCGGGCAGGCGCCTCGTGCCACGAAGCCATTCAAAGCAAGCCAGCAACGTGCGGGATGTGCCGGGCGAATCCTCCCGGGCCCGAGTTTGGGTCAAAGGCCTTTCCTTGCTTTGTTGTCTTGCCGTCCGGAGGGAGACGTGCAAAACAGAGGCAGGAAGGAAGAGGAGGAGGAAGGCCAGGTAGGCGCGAGGCCGGAAAGCCTCCCTTCTGGGACGAGGATCATGAAGGAGGAACCATCTACCGACCCAACCAAGAAAAACCAGCACAGGACAAGATGCAGCGGTGGACAAGTCTACATAGAAACCACCCAACACAGTCACCAATCAAAGCACACAAAAGGCACGGCAAGCTAATCCGACACCTCCCAAGCAGAGGATGCCTTCTGCGTAGAGGCAGCCTGGCTGTTGTTGCCTGGAGGCACCCTCTGCTTGGGAGGTGTTGACTGGTGCTAGATTGTATTCCACGACAGGCATCGGAAGAGCTGCAAGCACAAGAACAAGCCCCAAAAGTAAAGACAAAGGTCTGGATGGCCTTGAGGGGTCCCTTCCGGCTCTAGGGTATTATTATTACTATTAGTATTAAGCTGACGCTGGAAGGCCATCGGTCAGGAGGGCTTCAGTGGTGTCTTCTTGCCCGGCAGAAAGTACGCAGTTGGGCTGGAGAGCCTTGAGGGGTCCCTTCTGACTCTAGGATATTATTAGTAGCAGTATTAGTATTATTTTATATTATTTTATTATTGTTATTGTTGTTATTATTATTATTAATCTTTATTTATACCCCTTCACTATCTCCCCAATGGGGACTCGGAGCGGCTTACATGGGGCCAAGCTCAGACAACATATTACATCAAAATAAAACCAAAACATAAACAACAAGCAACATCATCAAATTACATAAAAAACAACAACATATGAATACAATAACAAAATAACATTACAATAATGAGGTTGGATGGCCTTGAGGGGTCCCTACTGTCTCTAGGATATTATTATTATTAGTATTATTATTAATTTATATTATTATATTATTATTGCTATTAAGCTGACTCTGGATGGCCTTGGGGGGGTCCCTTCTGACTCTAGGATATTATTAGTAGTAGTATTATTATTACTTTATATTATTTTTTATTATTGTTGTTATTATTATTGCTATTAAGCTGATGCTGAAAGGCCTTGATGGGTCCCTTCTGACTCTAGGATATTATTATTAATATTAATATTACTTTATATTATTTTTTATCATTATTGTTGTTATTATTGCTATTAAGCTGATGTTGGATGGCCTTGAGGGGTCCCTTCTGACTAGGATATTATTATTATTATTATTAGTAGTAGTAGTAGTAGTAGTAGTATTAATTTATATTATTTTATTATTATTACTATTAAGCTGAAGCTGGATGACCTTCTGGGGTCCCTTCTGACTCTAGAATATTATTATTAATATTAATATTACTTTATATTATTTTATTATTGTTATTATTATTACTATTAAGCTGAGGTTGGATGACCTTCTGGGGTCCCTTCTGATTCTAGAATATTTTTATTATTAGTATTATTATTAATATTACTTTATATTATTATTATTATTGTTATTATTATTGCTATTAAGCTGACACTGGATGGCCTTGAGAGGTCCCTTCCAGCTCTAGGATGATATTATTATTATTATTATTATTATTATTATTATTATTATTTATTGTTATTATTACTATTAAGCTGACACTGGATGACCTTGAGAGGTCCCTTCCAGCTCTAGGATGATATTATTATTATTATTATTATTATTATTATTATTATTATTTATTGTTATTATTACTATTAAGCTGACACTGGATGACCTTGAGAGGTCCCTTCCAGCTCTAGGATGATATTATTATTATTATTATTATTATTATTATTATTTATTGTTATTATTACTATTAAGCTGGCACTGGATGGCCTTGAGGGGTCCCTTCCAGCTCTAGGATGATATTATTATTATTATTATTATTATTATTATTATTTATTGTTATTATTACTATTAAGCTGGCACTGGATGGCCTTGAGGGGTCCCTTCCAGCTCTAGGATGATATTATTATTATTATTATTATTATTATTATTATTATTATTTATTGTTATTATTACTATTAAGCTGAGGTTGGATGGCCTTGAGGGGTCCCTTCCAGCTCTAGGATGATATTATTATTATTATTATTATTATTATTATTATTATTATTTATTGTTATTATTACTATTAAGCTGACACTGGATGACCTTGCGGGGTCCCTTCCAGCTCTAGGATGATATTATTATTATTATTATTATTATTATTATTATTATTTATTGTTATTATTAAGCTGAGGCTGGATGGCCTTGAGGGGTCCCTTCTGACTCTATGTCTCTCTGTTTCTCCCTTTCTGTAGCCACGTTATGAGACTTGCTCTGATGTCTTTCCTCTCCTGGCGTTGGCCGGCTGCCTGGCAAGGAGACATCTTATCTCTTGCACATCCTTCCTTGACGGCTGTGCGCATTTCCTCCAGCCTGCCTTGGCCTAATCGCTTGCCTTCTGGATCTGGAATGACTGCCATCAATGTGGTGTGTTCTGCAGATGGATGGCCCTGGGATGGATGTCATGAGTGGGGAGAAGGACCCTTTTGTCCGAGGAGGAGGGACCCCTGTTGACATTGCCCCCATGGTTGCGCCAGACACGCGTATGCATATGCAACACCGCCACATCTTGGGACTGCTGTTGCACCGCTTGGGCATCATGCCAGTCAAGGTCACGGCACACACCTTCCGCCCCCCTCCTACCCCACCCCCATATACTGCCAAAGCCAAAAGTGTGGGGCTGGGAGGCAGGAGGGTGGAAATGGAAGGAAGTCTGTGCCGAAGAGGAGGAGGCCAAAAGGGAAATGGGTCAGGCAGGAGGCGACAGCAGCAGCTTCTTGGAAGAAATAGTGCAGATGCCGGAGAAGAGCAAGCTCTGCGCATCCGGGCGGAGGTGATCCATCATATGGTGGTCGGTCATGCAACTGTGTTCCTTTAGCTCACACAGTGGCATGCCTTTGAGCATATGCCTCCTATCAACAGTATATTTATTTATTTATCGTGTCAGGGGCAACCAGACCATTGTATTACATTTCTAACAGAACAAAACAAACAAACAGATAAAATACAAAATTTGTGATTTTGGTAGTTGATTAAATGTCCTTTGACTAGTAGCTGGCCACTTGGAGCTGGCCAATTGGTTGGAAATTGACTGGTAAGGTGACACAGCTGAGGATATTGTTTTATTCTCGCTGGAACACCTCAGCAATCGAGAGTCCAAAAGTGGCAGGCTCAAACCCAGCACCTCAATTCATGGGTGATACCAGATGAGAGACTCCCCCCTGGGCACACAGAAGATGGGGCGACTTGGAAGGCGCTGAACAGACTGCGCTCTGGCACCACGAGATGCAGAGCCACCCTCAAGAAATGAGGCTACAAAACACACACATTTTGCAAACTTGGTAGCTGATTAAATGTCCTTTGACCAGTAGCTGGTCAAAGGCCCTTGGAGGGCCTTTGGTGTTGCCGCAAAGACGTCCTCCCTTGTGCATGTGGCAGGGCTCAGGTTGCATTGCAGCAGGTGGTCAGTGGTTTGCTCTTCTCCACACTCGCATGGCATAGACTCCACTTTGTGGCCCCATTTCTGCATCTCGTGGTGCCAGAGCGCAGTCTGTTCAGCACCTTCCAAGTCGCCCAGTCCTCTGTGTGCCCAGTCTCTCATTTGGTATCAGCCATTGATTGAGGTTCTGGGTTTGAGCCTGCCACTTTTGGACTCTCGCTTGCTGAGGTGTTCCAGCGAGTGTCTCTGTAGATCTTAGAAAACTATTTCTTGATTTAAGTCGTTGACGTGCTGGCTGATACCCAAACAGGGGATGAACTGGAGATGCCTCTGCCTTGGTCCTTTCACTCTTGGCTGCTCCTTCCTGGCGGATGTCAGGTGGTGCAATACCGGCTAGGCAGTGTAATTTCTCCCGTGGTGTAGGGCGCAGACACCCCATGATAATGCGGCATGTCTCATTAAGAGCCACATCCACTGTTTTAGCATGGTGAGATGTGTTCCACACTGGGCATGTGTAGTAAAACGCAAGGGCAGATGTCTTCACTGTGTCTGGTTGTGATCCCCAGGTTGTGCCAGTAAGCTTTCGTATGATATTGTTTCTAGCACCTAGTTTTTGCTTGATATTCAGGCAGTGCTTCTTATAGGGAACGGTCCAGAGTGACTCCTCCCAGGGATTTGGGTGCGCTGCAATGCTCCAGTGGGATCCCTTCCCAGGTCATACTCAGTGCTCGGGATGCTTGTCTGTTCTTAAGGTGAAAAGCACATGTCTGTGTTTTAGATGGGTTAGGGATCAGCTGGTTTTCCCTATAGTAGGCGGTAAGGGCACCTAGAGCTTCGGAGAGCTTCTGTTCTACCATCTCAAAGCTCCCTGCTTGAGCGGTGATGGCACGATCGTCAGCATAGATGAAGCTCTCTGTCCCTTCTGGCAGTGGCTGGTCATTTGTGTAGATGTTGAACATGGATGGAGCGAGCACGCTCCCCTGAGGCAGGCCGTTCTTCTGTTTCCGCCACCTGCTTCTCTGGCCCTGGAACTCAACAAAAAAGCTCCTGTTTTGTAGCAGGTTTCCTATGAGGCGGGTGAGGTGGTAATGAACAGAATGATAGATACAAACCACTCTAAATATATGCTCAGAGGATGTGCCTCTGAGTGTATGCAGAGTGCCTCAAATCGGAGATAGGAAGCACTCTGTACTTATGTTCAGAGGATGCGCACAACGGCTGCACGAGGAGGAACAAAGTGTCAGAAACTTCGGGTAAACAGCTTGGCACAGCACGGCCATAAACCTTCTCATCAGCAATGGGAACAAAAGAGGAGGCTAATGAGATAGCACTGACATAATGGGTCTAATCCAGGCATGGGCAAACTCCCACGATTCTTATTATTAAGTCCAAATCTGTCAAAACGGTTCACTCACTGTTGGGTGGCGCATTGGGCGGGATGAGCATGACTTCCAAAGAGACTTCATCGGAACGGAATCCATGGAGCTGAAAGAGAAGCAAAAAAAGAGATCGGTTTGTGTTGCTGGGTTTCTTGAATGCACAACCTTTTCAAATGTTTCTATGAGGAGCTGGGTGTGTTTAGATTGGCAAAGAGAAAGCCGGAGAAGGGGAAAGGGGAGCCGTGTTGACGTATTTGGAAAGCTAAAGCGGGTGTAGATAAATATAAATATCATAAGGATACTGTTGGGCGCCTTGAGTCCCCACCCGTGGGCAGAAAGGTGAGGTATAAATAATAATAATTTGATGTATTGTCGAAGGCTTTCATGGCTGGAATCACTGGGTTGTTGTAGGTTTTTCAGGCTATATGGCCATGTTCGAGAAGCATTCTCTCCTGACGTTTCGCCTGCATCTATGGCAAGCATCCTCAGAGATTGTGAAGTCTGTGAATTATTATTATTATTAGAGGAAACCTTTCCCTTATTATTATTATTATATTATATTATATATTGTTACATTATATTCTATATTATTATTATTGTTTTGTCGAAGGCTTTCATGGCCGGAATCACTGGGTTGTTGTAGGTTTTTCGGGCTAATAATAATATTATTATTATTAGAGGAAACCTTTCCCTTATTATTATTATTATATTATATTCTATATCGTTGTATTATATTCTATATTATTATTATTATTATTAGTATTATTGTATTGTCGAAGGCTTTCATGGCCGGAATCACTGGGTTGTTGTAGGTTTTTCAGGCTATATGGCCATGGTCTAGAAGCATTCTCTCCTGATGTTTCGCCTGCATCTATGGCAAGCATCCTCAGAGATTGTGACGTCTCTGAATTATTATTACTATTAGAGGAAACCTTTCCCTTATTATTATTGTATTATTATATTATACTCTATATTGTTATATTCTATATAATAATAATAATAATAATAATAATAATAATAATAATAATAATGTCAAAAGGTTTCATGGCTGGAATCACTGGGTTGTTGTAGTTTTTCGGGCTATATGGCCATGTTCTAGAGGCATTCTCTCCTGACGTTTCGCCTGCATCTATGGCAAGCATCCTCAGAGATTGTGAGGTCTGTGAATAATAATAATATTTATTTATTTATTTATTTACTGCATTTGTTGACCGCCGTTCTCAGCCCTAGGGCGACTCATGGCGGTGTACAACATATAAAAAACAGTTTACAATAAGGCAATATCACAACAAAATATCAACATAACTATCAATAATACAATTACACTAAATCATCCGCGCCGTCTCATCGTAGAATCATAAACCAATCTCGTAATCCATATTCCGTTCCAGTCGTCATTGCCAATTGTTGTAGCACTTAGTTAAACGCCTTCTCGAATAACCATGTCTTTAGGCTCTTGCGGAATGACATAAGGGAGGGCGCCTGTCTGATGTCTACAGGGAGGGTGTTCCACAGCCGGGGGGCCACCACCGAGAAGGCCCTATCTCTCGTCCCCGCCAGACGTGCCTGTGAGGCAGGCGGGATCGAGAGAAGGGCCTCCCCAGACGATCTCAAGGTCCTCGTGGGCTCATAGGCCGAGATGCGGTCAGAAAGGTATTTTGGGCCGGAACCGTTTAGGGCTTTGTAGGCCAGCACCAGCACCTTGAATTGGGCCCGGTAGCAGATCGGCAGCCAGTGGAGCTGGAACAACAAGGGCGTTGTGTGCTCCCTGCGTCCCGCTCCTGTTAGTAACATGGCTGCCGCGCGCTGGACTAGCTGAAGCTTCCGGGCCGTCTTCAAGGGCAGCCCCACGTAGAGAGCGTTGCAGTAGTCAAGGCGGGATGTGACCAGAGCGTGTACCACCGTGGCCAAGTCAGACTTCCCGAGGTACGGGCGCAGCTGGCGCACGAGCCTAAGCTGTGCAAATGCTCCCCTGGTCACCGCTGAAACCTGGGGATCCAGGCTCAACGATGAATCCAGGATCACACCCAAGCTGCGAACCTGCGCCTTCAAGGGGAGTGCGACCCCGTCCAGCACAGGCTGTAACCCTATGCCCTGTTCGGCCTTGCGACTGACCAGGAGTACCTCTGTCTTGTCTGGATTTAATTTCAATTTCAATTCTAATAATAATAATAATTATTATTATTAGAGGAAACCTTTCCCTTATTATTTTTATGTTATATTCTATATCGTTGTATTATATTCTATATTATTATTATTATTATTGTTGTATTGTCGAAGGCTTTCATGGCTGGAATCACTGGGTTGTTGTAGGTTTTTCGGGCTATATGGCAATGTTCAAGAAGCATTCTCTCCTGATGTTTCACCTGCATCTATGGCAAGCATCCTCAGAGATTATGAGGTCTGTTGGATTATTATTATTGAGAGAAACCTTTCCCTTATTATTATATATTATATTCTATATTATTATTATTATTATATTATTATTATTATTATTATTATGTCAAAGGGTTTCATGGCAGGAATCACTGGGTTGTTGTAGGTTTTTCGGGCTATATGGTCATGTTCCAGAAGCATTCTCTCCTGACGTTTCACCTGCATCTATGGCAAGCATCCTCAGAGATTGTGAGGTCTGTGAATAATAATAATAATAATAATAATTATTATTATTATTATTATTATTATTATTATTAGAGGAAACCTTTCCCTTATTATTTTTATGTTATATTCTATATCGTTGTATTATATTCTATATTATTATTATTATTATTATATTGTCGAAGGCTTTCATGGCCGGAATCACTGGGTTGTAGTAGTTTTTTCGGGCTAGATGGCCATGTTCCAGAAGCATTCTCTCCTGACGTTTCGCCTGCATCTATGGCAAGCATCCTCAGAGATTGTGAGGTCTGTGAAGAATAATAGTAATAATAATATAGAAACCTTTTCATTATTATTATTATTATTATATTCTATATTGTTGTATTATATTCTACATTATTATTATTATTATTGTTATTATTATTATTGTATTGTCAAAGGCTTTCATGGCTGGAATCACTGGGTTGTTGTAGTTTTTATGGCCATGTTCCAGAAGCATTCTCTCCTAACATTTCACCTGCATCTATGGCAAGCATCCTCAGACACTGTGAGGTCTGTGAGTTATTATTACTATTATTATAATTATTATAATAACCTTTCCCTTATTATTATAATATTATATTCTATATCGTTATATTATATTCTATATTATTATTATTATTATTATTATTATTATTATTATTATTGTATTGTCGAAGGCTTTCATGGCTGGAATCACTGGGTTGTTGTAGGTTTTTCAGGCTATATGGCCGTGTTCGAGAAGCATTCTCTCTTGATGTTTCACCTGACCACCTTCATTAGCATTTGAAGGCCTGGCTGAGCCTGGGAAAATCTTTTGTTGAGAGGTGTTAAGATGTGCCTGGTTGTTTCCTCTCTGCTGTTTTGCTGGGTATTTTCCCAGGCTCAGCCAAGCCTTCAAATGCGAATGAAGGTGGTCAGTTGAAACATTCACACCTAGCTCCAGCAGGGAAGAGCTCCTTGCCCCACCCCAGCCATTCCACAGATATATAAACCCATTGTCCTAATTCCAACAGACCTCACTACCTCTGAGGATGCTTGCCATAGATGCAGGCGAAACGTCAGGAGAAATGCCTCTAGAACATGGCCATAGAGCCTGAAAAAACCCACAAGAACCTAGTGATTCCAGCCGAAAGCCTTCGACAATACATTATTATTATTATTATTATTATTATTATTATTATTATTGTTGTATTGTCGAAGGCTTTCATGGCTGGAATCACTGGGTTGTTGTAGGTTTTTCGGGCTATATGGCAATGTTCAAGAAGCATTCTCTCCTGATGTTTCACCTGCATCTATGGCAGGCATCCTCAGAGGTTGTGAGGTCTGTTGGAAACTAGGAAAATGGGGTTTCTAGATCTGTGGAATGATGTTCAGGGTGGGAGATGATAATAATCTGCCTGGCCTGACAGAGTGGAGTTGGGCTGGATGGCCTTGAGGGCTCCCTTCCAGCTCTGTGCATGAACTGGAGCCAATTGGGTCAGGAGGAGGCGGGGTGTTTCAGGTGCAACGGGAACCGCACCTGGCTGTACAGGTCGACACGGCAAACGATGGTGGCCGGAGTCTCTGCCCACGATTCCTGCCCAGTCTTGTAGGCGAAGCTGAAGTGGCGGACGGTTGTGCTGAAAGAGTCCAGGATCTTGGTTTTCGCGCTCAAGGAGTTGTCTCCGCTGATCAGCAGCCGCGAGGAGGCTCCGTTGGGCATCTCAAGAGAACAGTCCTTGATTTCCAGAACGGCCAGGGGGTCACTTGTGCGGAATCGGGCCTGGGTGCAAAGGAGGAGGAGAGAGGTCACGGCCTTTGGAGCATCACCGCACTGCGATTGCCATCCTGTCCCGGCCACCTTTCCCCCCCAACGACCCAAAGCCAAACCCGGCAGTACCAGGACGTAGGCGGCTTGGTTGGCTTCTATCACGGATGTTGACAAGCCAAATTTGTAGTCCGGCGCACTGTAAAGCTGGAGGAAGACCTTCTCGGGGAGGTGGCATTCGAACGGCACCTGTGGCCGGAGAGGAAAGTCAGAAAGTCGGCACATCATAGAACAGGCACGGGCCAGCTTCGGCCCTCCCGCCAGGCGTTTCTTATCAAGGAACACGGCTAAGTTCCGTGTGTGTGCGTGTGTGTGTGCGTTAAGAGAAAAGAACTCCCCCTCGTTGACGTTGGGGTTCAGCCTCTGTGTGAACCTGAGCCCCAATCTCTGTGTGAACCTGATTCTCTGATTGTATTTCCAACTGAGCAAGTTACTGAACATGTATCTCTCCCTGCAGAGGCGGCCCTAGGTAATTTTCAACGGTAAGCGAACAGTATTTTGGCACTCACCCCCCCCCCCAACCAATCATTTTCTGTTTTCATGGGAGTTCTGTGTGCCATATTTGGTTCAATTCCATCATTGGTGGAGTTCAGAATGCTCTTTGATTGTAGGTGAACTATACATCCCAGTAACTACACTTGCCGCACTTGCTCCCTTGCCTGGCCCGCTTTGGGTCCGGAGGCGTGCCTGAAGACCCCGGCGTGTGCACCAAAAGTCACCTCTTCTCCTGACTTTCTCCTCAGCCATTGGGACCAAGAGAGAGAGAGAGAGAGGTGGAGATGCCCACCTTTCCTGAAGGTAGGCGCAAAAACAAAGGAGGGAGTGGAGGTGGGAGATACCTCCAGCCGGAGGGGCTCTCTCTCTCTCTCTCTTGGTCCCAATGGCTGAAGAGAAAGTCAGGAGAAGAGGCGACTTTTGGTGCGCACGCTGGGGTCTTCAGACACGCCTCCGGACCCGAAACGGGCCAGGCGCGGCGGCTCCGCCCCTTGGCCCACCCGCGGACTGGGGAGAGGAGGCAGGTGGAGCGCCAGGGGATTGGGAAAGGGAGCCGGTCATGGGGAAGGGATCGAATTTGGAGAACAATTGAGCGCCGGCTCTGCTCGCGCACCCGTTGGCCGGGTGGAGCAGGAACGAGAGGGGCGAGGCGAGGCTCAAGGGCCCGGCCCCTTTGGGAAGAGGATCGCCCGGCAGCGAGGCAAGAAAGCCGAGGCTCCCCCCGGACTGCTAGGCTGTTGTGAGCTGAGGGGGGCTCCTCAAGTGGCAGTCGAGGGGCATTTACAGAGGTGCCTGCTAGGGCTGTTGTGAGCGGAGGGGGCGCTCCTCAAGTGGCGGTCGAGGGGCATTTACAGAGGCGCCTCTGCACCCCTGGCAAAAAAAAAGTGTTCTGCGACCGCTTACTTTGCGTAATGGACGAGCCACCCCTGTCTCCCTGAAAGTGTTGAAACTGATGTTGATGCTGAGCTCAGTGGCGAGGAAAGTGAAACTGAACAGCCGGATGAAAATGTTTTGGAATCCGGCCGTGATAGCTCTCCAGAGGAAATCACACCTAGGTTTTTTAATGAGGACCGAAGGGAACAGATAGCTAGAGACAGGAGTGATTCCAAAGCGGATTCTCAGTGGAATCAATATCCTCAGCCAAACCAACGAAAGAACGAACCAAACAATTTAACGGGTTTTTCCGGGGGTGGGGGTGGGGGTGGGGGGGTGAAGAATATGTCTTTCCTTACCAGAACTTCTTCTCGAAGTAAATCAAGACTGAAGGCCAGCTGGAGGGGAAGAAGGAAAAAGAGAAAAGGCATCAGGTTCCAGGGAGCAAAAGTGGTATGGAAGGTCACTTTAGGGGTGCATCTACACTGCGGGATTAATGCAGGACAAAGGGAGGGAGGGGAGGAAGAGGGAGAGGGAAGGAGGAAAGGAAAGAGAGAAAGAGTGAGAGAGAACGACAGGAAGGAAAGAAGAAGGAAAAAGAGAACGAAAGAGGGAAGGAAGGCAGGGAAATGGAGGGGAGGAGGGAGGGAGGAGGGAAAGGAGAAGGAAAGAAGATGGATGGAAGGAAGAAGAAGGAAAAAGGAGAATGAAAGAGGGAAGGAAGGCAGGGGAGAAATAAATGGAGGGGAGGAGGGAGGGGTAAAGGAAAGGGGGAAAGTATAAGGGGAGGGAAAGAAAGAAAGAGAAAGGAAAGGAGGGAGGGAAGAAACAAAGGATGAAGGGAGGCAGGGAGGGAGGGGAGAACAAAGAGAAGGGAAAAGAAAGGGGGAAAGGCATGAGGTGAGGAAAAAGAGAAGAGAAGAGAAAGGAAGAGAGAAAGGGAAGAAATAAAGGATGAAGAGAGGGAGGGAGGGAGAAAAGGAGAAAGGAAAAGGGGAGGGAAAAGGAAAGAAAGGAGAGGAGAGGAAAGAAGAGAAAGGAAAGGGGAAGTATGAGGGGAGGGAGAAGGAAAGAAGGAAAAATGGGAAGAGATAAGCGGGGGAAAGGAAGAAGGAAGGAAAAAAAGAAGAGAAGAGAAGAGAAAGAAAGAAGGAAGGAAGGAAGGAGAGAAAGAAGAAAAAAGAAAGAAAGAAGAAGGAAGGAAGGAGGAAAGGAAGGAAGGAAGGAAGGAAGGAAGGAAGGAGAGGAAGGAAAGAAGGAAGAAAAAAAAAAGGAAGGAAGGAAGGAAGGAAGGAAGGAAGGAAGGGAAAAAAGAAGGAGGAAGGAAGGAGAGAAAAAAGAAAGGAAGAAGAGAAGAAGACGGACGTGGTGGGAAGCTGTATGAAGAAAATCAAGGAAAGAAAGGAAGAAAAAAGGGAGGGAGAAGGGTGTAGGAGGAAAACAGAGGAAGGAAGGAAAAAAAGAGTGACAAGAAGAGTGAGTGCATACCCATATAGGTATGTATATATATAGGTAAAGGTTGTCCCCTGACATTAAGTCCAGTCATGTCTGACTCTGGGCGTTGGTGCTCATCTCCATTTCTAAACCGAAGAGCCAGCGTTGTCCATAGACACCTCCAAGGTCATGTGGCCAGCATGACTGCATGGGGCGCCATTACCTTTCCGCCGGAGCGGTACCTATTGATCTACTCACATCTGCATGTTTTTGAACTGCTAGGTTGGCAGAAGATGTATATATATATATATATATACACCCTCGTAAAAACTCAAAGGGATGGGCTGACATGCAACCAGGAAGGGCTATTTGGAGGAGGTCCAAGGCGGAGAGCTGACCTGGTTCTTGACGACGGCGTCCCTTTCCAAGGAGGTGCCGCACTCCCTCAGCGGGCTCGTCAGGACGAAGTGGGTGCCGTTGTCCGTGGCCCGGCAGCTGCGGTCTTGCAAGGAGACGTCGGTGACTTTGAGGGGATTCATGAAAAGGCCCTGCAAGGAGGGAAGGCAGGCGAAGGAAGAAAGGAACAGCAGGATGGAGGTGAGGTGGGAAAGGGAAGATGAGAAGTCTTTCGCTCAGGGCTGGGCCAACTTCAGCACTCCCTCCAGGTGTTTTGGGCTCCCAACTCCCACAATTCCTATGGGGGGGGGGGCTCCTCCTTGTGCCTGCCGGGTGGCCGGTCCTCCTTCTCCTGTTTACGAACCAGCCAGCCTTTCTGGGCCGGTCCACTCACCCGCAAGTAGTCCTTGGCCAAGGTGACCTTGACACCACTATCCAGGCATCTCCAAGGCCGCCAGTCCGTGATGTTGATGCGCACAAATTCGGCCAAGGGCAGGCTCGTCACAGCGGCCGGCTCGGTCGTCGGCACGGCCGGTTCTTCTAAATGGACAAACATTGCAAAGCCATGTTGCCGTGGGGGCTCCGAGGAGGACCCCAACGCCCATCCTTTGAATTGAGACATCGGTTGGAAGAACTGAAATCTGTGAGCAGGCTTTTGGACAGCAGACATAATTAGCACTTTGGTTGGAAATTGACTGGTAAGGTGATACAGCTGAGGATATTGTTTTATTCTCGCTGGAACGTCTCAGCAAGCAGAGACACCTCCAGCTCACCCCCTGTTTGGGTATCAGCCAGCACGTCAACGACTTAAATCAAGACATAGTTTTCTTAGATCTACAGAGACACTCGCTGGAACACCCCAGCAAGCGAGAGTCCAAAAGTGGCAGCCTCAAACCCAGCACCTCAACCAATGGCTGATACCAAATGAGAGACTCCCCCCTGGGCACACAGAAGAAGGGGCGACTTGGTATGCACTGAACAGACTGGCACCACGAGATGCAGAGCCAACCTTCAGAAATGGGGCCACAAAGTGGAGTCCACGACATGCGAGTGTGGAGAAGAGCAAACCACTGACCACCTGCTGCAATGCAACCTGAGCCCTGCCACATGATGCACAAGGGAGGACCTTCTTGCGGCAACACCAGAGGCACTCCAAGGGGACAGAGACTGGTCAAAGGACCTTTAATCAACTACCAAACTCACAAGTTGTGTATTTGTCTGTTTGTTTGCTTTGTTCTGTTAGAAATGTAATATAATGGACTGGTTGCTGTGACACGACAAATAAATAAAAAATTGTTTTATTGTCTAATTAATGCTTCATGTACTGTTTTAATTGATGTTTTATGTATTTTATATTGTTGTTGCATTATTGTACTTGTTTATATCGAATTGTTGCCAAATATAAGCTGTCCTGAGTCCCCGTCCCCCCCAAATTTCGGGGGTAGAGAAGAGACAGGGTAGAAATACCAGAAATAATAATAATAATAATAATAATAATAATAATAATAATAATATTTACTAATAATAACTCCTGTGATATTTGCTCATGATAACTGACACTTGGAATGCCTCTGGTGTCACTGTGAGAAGGTCCTCCATTTTGAATGTGGTTGTATTATAGTTAGTGGGCTGTGGTTTGCTCTTCTCCGCACTTGCATGTCGTGGACTCCACCTTGTGAAGGTTGGTTCTACATCTTGTAGTCTGATCAGCACCTTCCAAGTCGCCCTGTCTTCTTCTGTGTGCCCAGGAGGGAGTCTCTCATTTGGTATCAGCCATGGCTTGGGATTCTGGGTTTGAGGCTGCCACTTTTGGACTCTCGCTTGCTGGGGTGTTCCTGCAAGTATCTCTTGTCAATCTTAGAAAACTATTTCTTGCTTTAAGGCGTTTGCGTGCTGGCTGATATCTGAACATAGGATGGGCCGGAGATGTCACTGCCTTGGTCCTTCCACTCTTGGCTGCTACTGCTCAAACAAACTCACTACAATGGAGATCTCCCTGATGTAAGGAATCATTGGGTTGGACGGAAGGTGCAAAGACTCACCGCACTGCCGGACCAACTCCAACGTGATGCTTTTGGCGGACGGGATCTCCGTGTACGAAGCCACAAAGGCAAACTCCTTGTTGCGGGCGGCTGCGATCAAGCCCTCCTTGCTGTCCGGCAAGTCTTCGCCCGGCACTTGCCTGCCGCCAAAATTCTTCAGGTCGTAGTTGCTCGAGACCTGCAGCCAAAGGAAGAGGAAGCAAAGGGCCATTAGCAGGAAAGACAGCCACTGCCATCAATGCCTTGGGCGCCTTCTTCTCCCCTCGGCTTTTCACCCTTCTTTTCTCTTCCCTTCTCTCTCTTTCTTTCAGTCCCTCCCCTCATTCCTGGGGCCCTTTCCTTTCTTCCTTTCCCTCCTTTTCTTCTCTCCCTTCCTCCCTTCTCCCTTTCCTTCCCTTCCTCCTTCCTTTCCTTCCTTCCTTCCTTCTCCTTCCCCTTTCCTCCTTCCTTCCCTTCCTTCCTTCCCTTTCTTTTTTTTCTTCTCCCTTCCTCCCTCCTTTTCCTTCCTTTCCTTCCCTCCTTCCCTTTCCTTCCTTTCCTTCTTCCTTTCTTTCTTCTTTTCTTTCTTCCTTCCTTCCTTTCCTTTCCTTCCTCCCTCCCTTCCTTTCCTTCTTCTTTCTTCCCTTCCTTTCCCTTCCTTCCTCTTCCTTTCCTTCTTCCTTCCTTCCTTCCTTCCTTCCTTCCTTCCTTCCTTCCTTCCTTCCTCCCTCCTTTCCTTCCTTCCTTCCCCTCCCCTCCCTCTCCTTTTCCTTCTTCCTTCTCCTTCCTCTTCCCTTCTTCTTTCCTTCCTTCCTTCCTTCCCTTCCTTCCTTCCTCCCTTCCCCTCCCCCTCCTTTCCTTCTCCCTTCCTTCTTTCCTCCCTTCCTTCCCCCTTCCCTCCCCTCCACCTCCTTTTCCTTCTTCTTTCCTTCTCCTTCCTCTTTCCTTCCTTCCTCCCTCCCTCCCTCCCTCCCTCCCTCCCTCCTCCTTCCTTCCTTCCCTCCCCTCTACCTCCTTTTCCTTCTTCTTTCCTTCTCCTTCCTCTTCCCTTCCTTCCCTCCCTCCTCCCTCCCTCCCCCTTCCTTCCCTTCCCTCCCCTCCCTCCTTTCCTTCTTCTTCCTCTCCTTCCTCTTTCCCTTCCTTCCTTCCTCCTTCTCCTCCTTCCTTCCTCCTTCCTTCCTCCTTCCTTTTCTTCCCTTCTTCTCTTTCCTTCCCTTCCTTTCTTCCTCCTTCCCTTTTCCTTCCTTCTTCCTCCTTCCTCCCCTTCCTTCTTCTTCCTTCTCCTTCTCCTTCCTCTTCTTCTCTTCCCTTTCCCCTTCCTTCCTCCTTCTCTTCTTCCTTCCTTCTTCCTTCTCCTCTCTTCCTTCTCTCTCTTCCCTCCTTTCTTCTCCCTTTCCTCCTCCCTTCCTTCTTCTTTCCTTCTTCCTCTTCCTTTCCTCTTTCCTTTCTTTCTTTCTTTCTTTCTTTCTTTCTTTCTTTCTTTCTTTCTTTCCTTCCTTCTGGTCACTTTTCTTTCCTAGTGACATCATCACAGAAAGCCACTTCACCTAGCAAGAACAAATCCGGCGACACCGCATAGGGCCACTTAACCCAGCAGGAGCAAATCTGGCAATGTCGAAGAGGGCCACTTCACCCCAAGGGCATTTGCCTGGCCGGGTGGTACTGATCTTAAACAGACCAACAGACTGACCAGGCCAAGGGCGTTTCCTCATCAGGCTCTTACTTACCACAAACTTGAAGGAACTGAACACGGGTCCGATGTGCCAGGCCAGACTTGGGCGGCCCTTCAGCACCAAGAGGATGGGCAGCATGTTCTCCGGTCCTCCCGCCTTGCATTTCAGTTCAATGTTCAGATTGACGTCCTGGCTGCTGGAAGGAGAAAGGATGCCAGATCAGAGCAGAACGGCACAAAGCTCATCGGTCCGGCTGCTCCGTCCAGTCATCAAGGCTGAGCTTTGCTCTCGTTGTAAATAAGAGCGCATGGGTCTGAAGCCAGAATGGCCGTTCGCGTGTGAATCCGGTCATTCCCATGCTTTGGCCCTCCGGATGTTTTGGACTTCGCTTTGCTTGGAAGTTGAACCCCAAAACACGAAAAGGAACAAAGTTTCGGAACCATTGGTTAAACTGGTTGACACAACAAGGCCATAAATCTTCTCTTACAGGAACAAACGAGGAGGCTAATGAGCTAGCACTGACATAATGGGTCTAAACATGCATGTTCACTGCAATAAAAGACGACATAATACATGACATAATGTTTTAACAGTGCCAGCTATCATATGTGGCAAGCACAATCAAAGCTCCCCTGACAGATGCCCCCCCCCGTCTTTGTAATAATAGTGATAATAATAATAATAATAATAATAATAATAATAATAATAGAAACCCATGCAGGAAAAACACAATCAAAGCTCCCCTGACAGATGGTCCCCCAGTCTTTGTAATAAATAATAATAATAATAATAATAATAATAATAATAATAATAGAAAGCCATGCAGGAAAAGCACAATCAAAGCTCCCCCAACATAAGGTCCCCCATTCTTTGTAGTAATAATAATAATAATAATAATAATAATAATAATAATAATAATAGAAAGCCATGCAGGAAAAGCACAATCAAAGCTCCCCTGACAGATGGTCCCCCAGTCTTTGTAGTAATAATAATAATAATAATAATAATAATAATAATAATAATAATAGAAACCCATGCAGGAAAAGCACAATCAAAGCTCCCCTGACAGATGGTCCCCCAGTCTTTGTAATAATAATAATAATAATAATAATAATAATAATAATAATAATAATAGAAACCCATGCAGGAAAAGCACAATCAAAGCTCCCCTGACAGATGGTCCCCCAGTCTTTGTAATAATAATAATAATAATAATAATAATAATAATAATAATAGAAAGCCATGCAGGAAAAGCACAATCAAAGCTCCCCCAACATAAGGTCCCCCATTCTTTGTAGTAATAATAATAATAATAATAATAATAATAATAATAATAATAGAAAGCCATGCAGGAAAAGCACAATCAAAGCTCCCCTGACAGATGGTCCCCCAGTCTTTGTAGTAATAATAATAATAATAATAATAATAATAATAATAATAATAATAGAAAGCCATGCAGGAAAAGCACAATCAAAGCTCCCCTGACAGATGGTCCCCCAGTCTTTGTAGTAATAATAATAATAATAATAATAATAATAATAATAATAATAATAGAAACCCATGCAGGAAAAGCACAATCAAAGCTCCCCTGACAGATGCCCCCTCCCACTTTGTAATAATAATAATAAGAAGAAGAATAAGAATAAAAACCCATGCAGGAAAAGCACAATCAAAGCTCCCCTGACAGATGGTCCCCCAGTCTTTGTAGTAATAATAATAATAATAATAATAATAATAATAATAATAATAATAATAGAAAGCCATGCAGGAAAAGCACAATCAAAGCTCCCCTGACAGATGGTCCCCCAGTCTTTGTAGTAATAATAATAATAATAATAATAATAATAATAATAATAATAATAGAAACCCATGCAGGAAAAACACAATCAAAGCTCCCCTGACAGATGGTCCCCCAGTCTTTGTAATAATAATAATAATAATAATAATAATAATAATAATAATAATAGAAACCCATGCAGGAAAAGCACAATCAAAGCTCCCTCGACAGAAAGTCCCCCACTTTGTAATAATAATAATAATAATAATAATAATAATAATAATAATAATAATAGAAAGCCATGCAGGAAAAGCACAATCAAAGCTCCCCTGACAGATGGTCCCCCAGTCTTTGTAGTAATAATAATAATAATAATAATAATAATAATAATAATAATAATAGAAAGCCATGCAGGAAAAGCACAATCAAAGCTCCCCTGACAGATGGTCCCCCAGTCTTTGTAGTAATAATAATAATAATAATAATAATAATAATAATAATAATAATAGAAAGCCATGCAGGAAAAGCACAATCAAAGCTCCCCTGACAGATGGTCCCCCAGTCTTTGTAGTAATAATAATAATAATAATAATAATAATAATAATAATAGAAAGCCATGCAGGAAAAGCACAATCAAAGCTCCCCTGACAGATGGTCCCCCAGTCTTTGTAGTAATAATAATAATAATAATAATAATAATAATAATAATAATAATAGAAAGCCATGCAGGAAAAGCACAATCAAAGCTCCCCTGACAGATGCCCCCTCCCACTTTGTAATAATAATAATAAGAAGAAGAATAAGAATAAAAACCCATGCAGGAAAAGCACAATCAAAGCTCCCCTGACAGATGGTCCCCCAGTCTTTGTAGTAATAATAATAATAATAATAATAATAATAATAATAATAATAATAATAATAATAATAGAAAGCCATGCAGGAAAAGCACAATCAAAGCTCCCCTGACAGATGGTCCCCCAGTCTTTGTATAATAATAATAATAATAATAATAATAATAATAATAATAATAGAAAGCCATGCAGGAAAAGCACAATCAAAGCTCCCCTGACAGATGGTCCCCCAGTCTTTGTAATAATAATAATAATAATAATAATAATAATAATAATAATAATAATAGAAACCCATGCAGGAAAAGCACAATCAAAGCTCCCTCGACAGAAAGTCCCCCACTTTGTAATAATAATAATAATAATAATAATAATAATAATAATAATAATAATAGAAAGCCATGCAGGAAAAGCACAATCAAAGCTCCCCTGACAGATGGTCCCCCAGTCTTTGTAGTAATAATAATAATAATAATAATAATAATAATAATAATAATAATAATAGAAAGCCATGCAGGAAAAGCACAATCAAAGCTCCCCTGACAGATGGTCCCCCAGTCTTTGTAGTAATAATAATAATAATAATAATAATAATAATAATAATAATAATAGAAACCCATGCAGGAAAAACACAATCAAAGCTCCCCTGACAGATGGTCCCCCAGTCTTTGTAATAATAATAATAATAATAATAATAATAATAATAATAATAATAGAAAGCCATGCAGGAAAAGCACAATCAAAGCTCCCCTGACAGATGGTCCCCCAGTCTTTGTAATAATAATAATAATAATAATAATAATAATAATAATAATAATAGAAAGCCATGCAGGAAAAGCACAATCAAAGCTCCCCCAACATAAGGTCCCCCATTCTTTGTAGTAATAATAATAATAATAATAATAATAATAATAATAATAATAATAATAGAAACCCATGCAGGAAAAGCACAATCAAAGCTCCCCTGACAGATGGTCCCCCAGTCTTTGTAGTAATAATAATAATAATAATAATAATAATAATAATAATAATAGAAACCCATGCAGGAAAAGCACAATCAAAGCTCCCCTGACAGATGGTCCCCCAGTCTTTGTAATAATAATAATAATAATAATAATAATAATAATAGAAACCCATGCAGGAAAAACACAATCAAAGCTCCCCTGACAGATGGTCCCCCAGTCTTTGTAATAATAATAATAATAATAATAATAATAATAATAGAAACCCATGCAGGAAAAACACAATCAAAGCTCCCCTGACAGATGGTCCCCCAGTCTTTGATAATAATAATAATAATAATAATAATAATAATAATAATAATAATAGAAAGCCATGCAGGAAAAGCACAATCAAAGCTCCCCTGACAGATGGTCCCCCAGTCTTTGTAGTAATAATAATAATAATAATAATAATAATAATAATAATAATAATAGAAAGCCATGCAGGAAAAGCACAATCAAAGCTCCCCTGACAGATGGTCCCCCAGTCTTTGTAGTAATAATAATAATAATAATAATAATAATAATAATAATAATAGAAAGCCATGCAGGAAAAGCACAATCAAAGCTCCCCTGACAGATGGTCCCCCAGTCTTTGTAATAATAATAATAATAATAATAAATAATAATAATAATAATAGAAACCCATGCAGGAAAAACACAATCAAAGCTCCCCTGACAGATGGTCCCCCAGTCTTTGTAATAATAATAATAATAATAATAATAATAATAATAATAATAATAGAAAGCCATGCAGGAAAAGCACAATCAAAGCTCCCCCAACATAAGGTCCCCCATTCTTTGTAGTAATAATAATAATAATAATAATAATAATAATAATAATAATAATAGAAAGCCATGCAGGAAAAGCACAATCAAAGCTCCCCTGACAGATGGTCCCCCAGTCTTTGTAGTAATAATAATAATAATAATAATAATAATAATAATAATAATAGAAAGCCATGCAGGAAAAGCACAATCAAAGCTCCCCTGACAGATGGTCCCCCAGTCTTTGTATAATAATAATAATAATAATAATAATAATAATAATAATAATAGAAACCCATGCAGGAAAAGCACAATCAAAGCTCCCCTGACAGATGGTCCCCCAGTCTTTGTAATAATAATAATAATAATAATAATAATAATAATAATAATAATAGAAAGCCATGCAGGAAAAGCACAATCAAAGCTCCCCCAACATAAGGTCCCCCATTCTTTGTAGTAATAATAATAATAATAATAATAATAATAATAATAATAATAATAGAAAGCCATGCAGGAAAAGCACAATCAAAGCTCCCCTGACAGATGGTCCCCCAGTCTTTGTAGTAATAATAATAATAATAATAATAATAATAATAATAATAATAGAAAGCCATGCAGGAAAAGCACAATCAAAGCTCCCCTGACAGATGGTCCCCCAGTCTTTGTAATAATAATAATAATAATAATAATAATAATAATAATAATAATAATAGAAACCCATGCAGGAAAAGCACAATCAAAGCTCCCCTGACAGATGGTCCCCCAGTCTTTGTAGTAATAATAATAATAATAATAATAATAA